TATTCTCATGACACTGTCTATTGCTCTTCTTCTTCTTTCTCTTTATGTATAGTGATTTCTTATCAACTTGTCTTGTACTGCTTACATATTATTACAATCTAATGTCAAGTGTACATGAAGCAAAATATCGTGCTATGCGTGATGCATTAGATCGTTATCGAGTTGATTTAAGTAATTTATTAAAAGAAGAAGTAAGTTTATCTATTTATTTATATGTATAAAATTATCATTTTTAAGAGTTGATTGTAGGTGAAGTGGAACCAAACAGATATGAACCACACGGATCTCATTTGATTTGTGTGAGGGTTGTGATACTGCCCGAGTGTCCAAACCGAAGCACGTGGTTTTCTTAGGGGGGCCACACCCGGAGCCTTCGACCTAAAGGTCTGATCCACAAGGCAGTGGAGCATCGTAAAAAGATGTAGTTTCATGATAGCCGGTGACCGACGATTGGTTCATACGTCATTTGTTCCCACAAGATACTGGAGCCAACCCATATGCACCATTGGTTTGGGATCCGGTTAAAGCGCCGGACATTCGCTTTTCATCCCCTTATTTTCGTAAACAATAGTAATGCCACGAGAAGGCAGTGAGTAGGACTTCCCTGGTGGAGGCTGTATACGCGTGGCCGTGTGAGAGCATTTCGAGAGGGAGTGCGGGCCCACCCCACTCTCAGCCATACCAGGGCATTTGGGGGCAGAAACCTTCACAAAGTATTGAAGAAGTATCACTTTCAATGTATTTGTATTAAAGAGAACAAGGTGATTGATAAGATTATTCATGACTCTGTGATCATAGACAATCACTGTCCAATCAGGTATAATCAAAGTACTCATCATAATTTTCAAGAATGATTTTGAAATCTTTCAACAATTAACAAAAAAGAAAACGTTGATTGATCGAAATATTTTAAAGATTACTTCAAAGAATTATCGAATAGTCCTTAATAAACTACTAGATTTATTATGATCAGTAATAGAACTCTTAATCATTTTCAAAGAGAGGGGTTTCCTTCTATTCTACACCCTAGAATGCATATCAATCTTGGCTCGGAAATACTCTGGTACGGCCGAGAGTGGGGAGAGTCCGCTCTCCTTCTCTAAATGCTCTCACATGGCCACGTGTATATAGCCACTGCCAGGGAAATCCTACTCACTGCCTTCTCGTGACAATACTATTGTTTACGAAATTGAAAGGACGAAAAGCGAATGTCCGGCGCTTTAACCGGGTTGCTAGACATGGAGAGTCCACCTAGGGGAGTTGGAAAACTTTCATTCCAAACCAATGGTGCATATGGTTTTCAGTACACTGAGGGAAAAATGGGACTGCATCTCCTTAAGTTGTCCAACTGCCTCGTGGTTCAGACCTTCAGGTCAAAGGCTCTGGGTGTGGCCCTGTAAGTAAAGCACCTGCTTCGATTTGGATACTTGAAAAGTATCCCAGCCCTTACACAGATCAAATGAGATTTGTGTGGCGCATATGTATTTCGTGCCTCCTTGTACTAATATCTATGTGTTCAAATAAAAAAAGATCAATCTTACAGTTGTTATGTTTTGTACTTATTTCCAGATTATTGTTAATGAAAAAGAATTAAGAATTGGACCGAAATCTTCATCCTCTTCATCATCATCTTCAACAACATCGTCTTCATTCACAATGAATCATATTCATTGAATTAACCAACTACATTAAACTCTATTTCGTTTTTTGGTCATCTCTCTCTCTTTCATCTTTATTCCATGAATAGTATATTTGTGTATACAGTGATAGGGTCATTGTTCCATTAGCGTTTTTTTTTTGTTTTTTTGTGGAGCAAATGAGTTTTCTACGGGATAGAGTTGCTAACCCTCATGCTTAACCTTCCTCCTTTTATCCAAAATTGGAATCGGTATGAACTCGAGAAGAACTACACAGATCGAGTTACATTGTTCATTAATCCAACTTAATTCTATTCAATGATCATTTGTATTATCGATTTACATTTCTTATCATATAAATTCAATAGAAAAATAAACATTCCAATTAGAATTCACATATCGTTGTAATATGTATACACAAATGGTATATACTACTGATATTCATCGACATATATGAGTAGTATATTAACACCAAACAGAAATAGCTTGTTTAATCTGGAAATTGTGTTGTTCTTGACTGCACTAGTAACAAATGATAGGAGTCTTCTTTTTTAAATGCTCTACTGAATACCTTTATTGTTGTTGTTTTTCTTTTTTGAAAACACACAATGTATTATGTAACTTGAATCAAATGTATTTATGATTATAGATTATTATCACTGATGAGTATTCATTCAAATGCATTTCTATGTCAGTTATTTTGATCCCTTCTCCTACTTTTTCTTCTTCTTCTTCTTCTGATTATTATGATCAATCATAATATTGTACACTATTTATTTTCACATAATAGATGTGGATGGATAGTTTTTTTTTCTGTTACCAAGTTGTATGTATTATGGATAATTATTTTGTAAAATAATAACATAATATAGTAATGATTATACTATATATATTCAATTATGATTATAGAGTTGATAGACTTGTTGCCAAGGAAACAGTGTGAACGTTTACTTATATGATAAGGCTTGCTAACTGGATGCTATATTTAGTTCCTAAGCTATTCTCGTAAACCCTCCCCCCCTGCCCCGAGTTAGAACGATACAACGATCTGAATATGAGAGAAATGGCTGATTGATTTATAAATTTAATGATTAGAAAGTAGTCATTTATTCTCATTTATCTATCTACCCTAAAAAGTAACAATTCGTTTTATTTATTTATTTGAACACATAGATATTGGTACAAGGAGGCGCCAAATACATATGAGCCACACAAATCTCATTTGATATGTGCGAGGGCTGTGATACTACCCGGGTGCCCAATTGGAAACAGGTGGTTTTCTTAGAGGGTCATACCCGGAGCCTTTGACCTAATAGTTTGATTCATAAGTCGGTGGAGCAATGTCAGAAAATACAGTCCTATGGTAGCCGGTGACCAACGATTGGTTCATACGCCATTTGTTCTTTCAGGATACTTGAGCCAACCCATGTGCACCATTGGTTTGGAACCAGGGTTTTCCAACTCCCCTAGGTGAACTCTCCATGTCCACCAACCCGATTAAAGCGATGGACATTCACATTTCGTCCTGTTAATTTCGTAAACAACATCCCATGCCACGAGAAGGCAGTGAGTAGGACTTCCCTGGTACAGGCTATATACACGTGGTCATGTGAGAGCATTTCGAGAGGGTGAGCGGACTCTCCCCACTCTCAGCCGTACCAGGGCATTTGGGGGCTTATTGTGGGATTATATTGTAAAATACTGAATTTTACTACAACAACTTAACACTTCAATTAGAATTGCTTTAGGATATTCTTACATTTTAACTCTATAAATGAGTAAACAACAAAAGTATCCCTTTTCTTTTTAAACATACTATTGAAATCTATTTTACACACGGGATTGTGAGCTGAATCTTTTTAATGGGAACAAATAATTTTCCAAGTCAATCCATCCATCTATGAGACCTAATGGTCTTCTTCCTTTCAGAATCCTGTATGATCACTGTAGAATAGTCTTAAACTAGAATGAAAAGCTTCCTGGGGCTCTTGAATTTTCCATGATTATCAAATAATATAATTTTATGGTGAAAAATTGAAAACAAATAACTTTGACAAGCTTACATGACTACTGAAGAATCAATTATACAAAGAGTGAAATAGGTATTATAGATGAAATTGGATTATCCTTTCATCTAGTCATGAATGAAGATTACTGAATTACAGCTTAATAGTTTAAGTTATCAATGATAAGTCTTGTTAATTGTATGCTATATTCAGTTCCTAAGCTATTCTCGTAACCCCCCCCCCTCGCCCAAGTTAGAACGACACAATGATCTGAACACGGGAGAAAAGGCGCAAAATACACGAGAAGAAATTTACTCCAATGATTCGTTTTAGTAAAGAAAATATTAGGGTTTTTATAGTATTTTAGATGTCTTTGGGTTCCCCGAAATTTCTGGAATGCTACTCAACATAGTAGTAGTTAGTCAATCAGAAACCCTACATGTGACTTTTGACTTTCTTGATATTTCTGGCTAAACTTCAAGTGAACGCTGATTGGATAAAATGCTTCTCAGTGTTTTTTGAGGCTTTCTTGTCTTTTGCGAGAAGTTTTCTGGATCACCCCAACATGATAGTCATTGATAAAGTTGCCCTCAAATGATGTGGTACGGCTGAGAGTTGGGAGAGTCAGCTCTGCCTTTTGAAATGTTCCCACATGACCACATGCATACAACCACTGCCATACAAGTCCTACTCATTGCCTTCTCGTGGCAATACTATTGTTTACGAAATTGAGAGAACGAAAAGCGAATGTCTGTTGCTTGAATCGAGTCGGTGGATATGGAGGGTCCACCTAGGGGAGTTGAAAAACCCTGATTCCAAACCAGTGATGCACATGGGTTGGTTTTAGGATCCTGAGGGAACAAATGGTGTATGAACCTATTGTTGGTCATCAGCTACCATGAGAGTGGATGTCATGACCTTGTTCCACTGTCTTGTGGATCAGACCTTTAGGCCGAAGGCTCGTAGATGTGGCTCCCTAAGAAAACCACCTTCTTCGGTGTGGATACTCGAGAAGTATTCCAGCCCTCACACACAATCAAATGGTTTATGTGGCGTATATCTATTTGTTGCGTTCTTGTTTATGTGTTTAAATGAAAAACCTAGGTCCATGATTTCCTATTGACTACCTTCACTCACTATCTTAATCTTAACAACAGTGCATGCAATAATTGAATCACCTAGACAGACTAATAGCCACATTATAACTTGATTGATAGGATTCAATGTACACCAAGAAGGACCTGACACGTATGATATTGATCACTTCTACCCAGTAATTAATCAATTGTAAATGTACAATATCACATAACTTATCGATGAATTAGTTTGTATTATAGTCAGTCAATAACAACGTAGAACTTCGTACCTACGTACATCAGTTTGAGTTGTCATACCATATTACCACACTGATACAATTGTCGATTCAAATCCCATAGTGGTAGAGGTAGTAAAAGTATAAGCAGTAATCGGAAAGATTAGGGTTTGAAGATGTTATTCAATGGGTATAATTCAGTGAAATAAATTTGGAAAGAGAAAAAAGAGACAAAAAGGAATCAGAAGATCAAAATTTGGAAGACTACAAAGAATGGATGCACCTGCTCACATCATTTCAAACGATTTTCAACCATGTCATTCAAGGTCTTTAACCATCGGTTGTTATCATCTCACGGTCCTCACAACCAATATGTATTATAAACTTTGAAGAATATTACAATCATTAATAAAATTAACTCAACTAATGAAACAAATGTACGTCATTTGAAGATTCATAGAATGGAAAGAGTAAAGCTTTTTTTTTTTTTTAATCATTGAAATGATTGTCATTATTTGAATAATTATTAATGATTGATTATCATTATCGATTTATTATAGAAGTATTAATATAAAGTTAATAATTTAATATGATTGTCAATAGTATTCAGATAAAATTTATTCAAGACGAAATAAAATAGATCCATAATCAATCATGTTCAAATCAATGAATCGATCAAACAAACAAATGATCAATATTCAATAGCATTGAAATATCAAAGAGAAAAGAAAAACAAAAAAACAAACATCATCAATGATGTTGATTCGATTATGAATAGGGTTCATAAAGCATGATTAGTGTATTGAATAAGAATACACAAAAGAATAGAATGTCTTATTGAAATCTTATTGGATTATACAGTAAATAATTGAATTGTAGAGATATTTATTCATTGTCTTAGATTTGATGATTCTTTCGTTTTCATATCAATCATTCGTTGTTGTTGTTGTTGTTGTTGTTGTTGTTCTCTTCGATGATCTCAACTTACTGACATCAAGCATTTCTACTTTCGATCAACCATATACATACTACTTATATGTGTCAACATCAGTAGCACATACTATACTATACTATAGTTCTCACAAGTATACACTTCATAATAGTTGTTGGCTTAGATTTGATGATTCCTTCGTTTCCATATCAATCATTGGTTGTTGTTGTTCTTCTTCTTCTTCTCTTCGATGATCTCAACTTACTGACGTCAAGCATTCCTATTTTCGATTAACAATATACATACTACTTATATCTGTCAACATCAGTAGCACAAAGCATAATAATAGTTCTTACAGGTATACACTTCACAATAGCTGTTATACCCTACTATTAATAATAATAATACTACACAGTTACCTGAATACTAAATAAAAGGCACCATAGAAACAGAATAAGTTAAAACTATTATTTAAACAAGCGTATTCCGTAGCCAGAAAATAAAGATCAATCATATAAATAAAGAATAATTAGTGAACACCATTAAGAATTATGTAATACCTTATTAATAATAATCATAAGAAGAAACCTTGGTTACTTCATTAATACAGAATTCAATGCTGAAATTATTCAATCGTTGCTTTAGTAACTTTATCTAAACGACGTTGAAGTTTTTCAGCTAATTCATTTGTTGTTGTTGTTAATGATGTATCATTATTGTAATGTTGTGATTGATGAGGATTTGTTTCCTATACAAGAAAAAAAAACAAACATACGAACTGATTATCCAATGAGAGTTGAAAAACATTTAACATTTAATAGTTGAAAACATGAGTCCATTGAAGAACCGTTTCGTCCTATTGTGGGACTCCTCACCAGTGCGTATCTACGATCCTGTCCGTTCTCCGTGAAATTCGAACCCAGGAACTATCAGTTTCGCCCGCGAGTCCCATTCTCATAATAATCATCTACTCACTGGTGACTGACTTCAAGAGGCATTTCCTGGAGTTCTAGTGATAAGCAGTGACCAGTGGAGTACAACCAGGTCTGTTGTGACATATCAACTCACTGAAGACAATGGTGTACGTAGGAGCAATTTCATGGATTGATTGAAGTTAAACATTAACACTGTTGGATACCGGCCAGCTCAGTGGTCTAATAGTTAAGTGGTCGCGCGCGACAATGATAGGTCTTGGGTTCGAATCTTGCGAGGTGGCATCGTGGATGCGCACTGTCATTCAGGAGTCCCATATAGGACGAAACGGTCGTCGAGTGCTTCCAGATTTTCTACAGTGGTCTAGGTTCAATTGACTCATGATCTTAAACAAAGTCCAATCACAGATATTGTGGTTGATGGCAATATACAACGAAAAGAATGTACATTGTTTAGATGTCGATTCACTGAACTACTAACTTCTAACTGACAACCACACAATAATATGTTATCATCAGGTTCGATCAAGAAATGAGAAACTCGCTGAAATACTTTATGCTAAGAATTCTATATTATACCAAAAACTATAATATAGAATAAACTCATTCATAATAAATACTAACTATGATTTGAAAGACTCATTTAAATGATTTCCAACTTAAGGTCATATAAGTTCAACTAAATCAATGGAAAAACCATGTCATTTCTAATTGATTGATCATTGAGTAACGTTAGTTAATATCATATTTGTTTAAATTCTACCGATTAAGTTGCTATGTGACCATTACTTTCAGTGATTCGATATCATATATATACTATATTGGAATGTTGAATGCTTCAAAAGTAGTCAATACTATGATCAGTATTAAAAAAGAACAGACAGAACATAACATTGATCATGATTGTTTAGGTCTTTAAATGAATAAATTCTCAATGTAGCATCATTCTAATAGTCAAACTACAGAACTTCAGTATAATTTTTTCTGATTTTACAAGTAGCGTATGGTGTGTGCTACTGATATTGATAGATATAAGTAGTATGTATCATCAATTGAAAGTCGAATGACTGACAGAAGAAGTTTAACAAGATCAAAGAACAGAGAACAAGAACAAATAATGATTAGTGTGGAAACGGAAGGGGTTTGAATACTTTTTTCTGGTTAGCGTTTTTTTAGCGAGTTAGTTTTCTATAGGATGGAGTCGCTAACCCCATGCCCAATCCTTTTCCTTTATCCGGGCTTTGAACCGGCAGTAACCCCAGAGGAGCCATAGGAAGACATGAGAAGAATGAACAAAAATTGGATAGAACTAGAAAGGAAGGCCCAGGACAGAGTGGGTTGGAGAATGCTGGTAGGTGGCCTATGCTCTCTGTGTTTGATCATTGTTGTCTCCGAAGGATTGCTGGTATCCAGTGGCAACACCATGTTAGTAATATAGAGGTTCGGCATCGTGTGTTTGGGCACAGAGACGACAATTCAATTGGTGTCACTATCTTAAAACATCGACTTCGGTGGCTTGGACATGTTCTACGAATGTCGTCCCAGAGAACTCCCCGTCGTGCATTATTTCCCGACGCTGGGATTGGTTGGAAAAGACGGAGAGGTGTTCAGTGTATGACATGGTGTCGGGGTATGAAAGGAAGGTGCAAAGGACTGGCTTCTGTTGGTCCTTCACGACTCCCTGGTTGGGGTCCGAGAGATGGTTCAATACAGTGGCTAGAGACATTATCAGATATGGCTCAGAATAGAAGGCAGTGGCGATCCTGCTGTAACCTTCTTTTACCTTCTTCATAAAAAGTGGCTGTAACTTCTTTAAATGAAAGAATTCTTTCCAGTTGTATCTTTCTGTTTCCCCCATTATTATTATTTCAGTGGTCTTGAGTGCTGTTAGAGGTATGAGGGCGATTATCACTTCCCGGTTGCCCACACCATGGAAGGGTTCGTCTGAACGTACGTGAAAAGGAAATTGGATTAGAGGTAGTTTTAGTGACCTGAGAGTGTGACCACAGTGCCCAAGTGACAACTGCATGAGGTCGGTCACACGCGACCTCTTCGTGAGTCATTTTCATGTTAGCTCTGTACTTGTTGAGATCTTACCGCCGGAGACGGATATCCGTGGGATAAGGCAAGGTGTGCATTTTTAGAGTCGACCTTTTCTAACCACACCCCTCCTTGTGGGAAGGCAGCATCGCTGTCATACTGGTTGTCTGAAGGAAACACCTTACTGCTGTCACATCTCTGTACAGTCAGCAGTACGACTTCGCCTTCGGACCTTAGGTTTGTTGCTCTTAGTCTTACTGCTCTTCAACCGGCCTGTCTGACATGGTACGACCTTGAGGAACGGTTGTTGCAGATAGTATAGCTCGGTTGCTTCATCACGATAGGCAAGCGCGACCACCACGTCAAGGTAGCAAAAACTACTTCTATGAATCCGCTATTCCTCTTCCTGTGCTAATGCAGTATGGCAACTTTGACCGATACATATATGTGCCTGGTCTTACGTTGTAGCTGACTGACTGATTATTATCATTTCACTACCATAAACTAACTAGTGGTCGTTATCGTTCTTTGTTTTTCTTTATACACGCACCTAACATTCTTTATCTCTTCGCATTCTCATTATTATTGTGTGGCGCATATGTATCTGGTGCCTCCCCCCCCCTTGTACCAACATTTGTGTATTCAAAGAAATAAATAAATAGTAAAAAAACATGTAGGAGTCAAACATACAAAAAAAAGAACAACAGAACTTTCAATTAAACTGTACAGTTTACAAGTTAACTAATTATTCAATTCCATTTTTACCTATGACTGACATGTTAATCTATACTTGAATATACACCCTAGAGATTAGGCTACTTTTAATGTACATAATACTGAAACAGATGATAAGAGAGAACGAGAGAGTAAGCCTTGGGGTGAATGAAAATACATGTGATTAGCCGTTATTTTTCATACAGATGAATCATGCCTATCAGTAATTGTTTGAAATGGAAGATACATTAGATCTAAACAACTGTTCAATTCATCAATATTATTCAAACATATACATTGTACAGTATTTAAATATATAACTGATTAGATTACTGGTTGATATTCCAAGTAAGTAAGTAAGTAAAGATGAATGATAGCTAACAGTGAAACCTAAGACATGCGCTTCGTCTTATTTGAGACTCGTCAGTTGCATTCTAGAATTGATGTTCACTTCAAGACTCGAATCTAGTACCGTTTACTTGAAACGCTATCATGTTATCCACTTAGCTATTGAGTTCTAATACTAGCCCCACCATTATCTCTGATTACAATACCAATAAAAGATTGATCAATCTAAGTCTTGAACATCAATGAAAAGTTTCAAACAAACAATAGAAAAATGAATTTTCCAACTCCCTTATTCATTGATATAATTAATCCATATACACAGTAATCAACCATTGTGATAAGTATTATTCATATTACACTTTACAACTGTCTATAGATGAATAATCGGAGTGAATAGTAAACAGTTGAGTGTAATAATATGCTTCAGATTATGTTCCCTATATGCATGGAGACAGAGAAACATGATAATTATTGTATGTAGACCTAACATCTTATATGTAAACAGAATAAATTATATCTAACTAAGATTTCATTGCATTATTACTAGTCACAAATAAACCTATTGATTCACAGACAAGTTTTAGATACTTTCAGAATAGCCGAAGGTCAGGAGAGTCCACTCTCCCTCTCTAAATCTTCTCAAATGGTCACACGTCTACAGCCACTACCACTGAAGTCTTACTCAATGCCTACTCACCACTGAAGTGTCGTTTACGAAATTGAGAGAACGAAAAACGAATGTCCGATGCTTTACACGCGTTGGTGGATATAGATGATCCACCTCGGGGAGTTGGAAAATTGATTCCAAATCAATCGTGTACATGGGTTCCAGTATCCTAAGGGAACAAATGACGTATGAACCAATTATTGGAATGTATTTCCCTACGTTTCTCCACTGTCTTGTGAATTAGGCCCTCAGGTCAAAGACACCCTAAGAAAACCACCGGCTTTGATTTGGGCACCCGAGCAGTATTCCAGCCCTCACACAAATCAATGATTACTACTACTGGCCTCATTGTTATTATGTGGCGTATATGTATTTGGTGCCTTCTTGTACCGTTGTTTATGAGTTCAAATAAGTAAATAATAAATAAACTTCAAAATGTAAAGATTTCGTTTCAAAGACAATTTGGGCTTTCAGTTATAAAAAATAGCATACTTTTTTGTCTTCATAGTGTAGTCATGACTATATTATCATCTATTTCAAATTACTATCTCAACACTGGTAGAAGCAGAGATAGATGGCAGCTAGCAGTGGAATCTAAGACAATGGGGAAGATACAAGTAAACAATACCAAGTGAACCTGAACACCGTTAGATAGAGAAAACATACACTTGAAATGGTGTTATTATCATAACATTTATGTGCACATTTTACAAAGAAGCATTTCATTCATAAGGGGGATTTAATGAAGACTTTAGTAGTTTAATAGTTGAATTCATGAATCAATTAAAGCTAGACTACCATTGAAAACCAGGAAGCACTGGATAGCCGTTTCGTCTTATTGTGGGACTTCACATGGAAAGTGTCCGTATCCTAATGAAGAATAAATGAATAGTAACTGCTAGGATCTATTTATAGACAGGACAGGGTTATGAGAGAAAAACTAGAGTTGCCTCCAGGCTGCTAGTATTCTGGTTAAAGCATCATTGGTTTGGCACAATGCCAAAATCATATAAGTCAGTGTTACAATTGAAGATTTAGACAAGTGATAATCAATAGGGCATAAAGAACATAATAGAAAGAAAATTGAATCATTTTGACAAACCATTTTATTCAATTGTTTCTTTTCAATTAATTCACGTTTCCAATGTGGTACAAGACCCCATTTCTTTAATTCATCCTGTAAATTGAAATGATTAAATATGGGAAACATTCATAATGATAATTGAATCATAGTTATATTAATAGAATTTAAGGTTTAAACATTTAAAACAATGATGGATGGTAACACAATTTCGTGGAGTGGTTGAAGTTAGACATCAACACAATTGGATGCCAGACCAGTGGTCTAGAGGTTAAGCGTCCGCCTACGAGACTCATAGGTCCTGGGTTCGAATCTCGCGGGACGGAGTCGTGGGCGTGCACCGCTGAGGAGTCCCAAAATAGGACGAAACGGTTGTCCATTGCTTTCAGGTTTTCTATAGTGGTCTAGCTTCAATTGACTTATGAATTCAACTATTAAATTACTATAATCTCCACAAAACCTCCTCTGGTTTAATCATTTATTACTTCTCTTTAATGAAATTAATTAATGCATCGACAAATAGTAAACATAATTGTATGAAGTGGATATTACGTAGAGCATTTGAAAAGAGACACTGGGTTCTAGTTCTTGCGTAAACATTAATACTGTGATGTAGGTCTATTCAGTTGATAAGTCTTAAAAAGGACGAAAAGCACTTTATGGATTCTATCTCGAGCGACCAACAAATGTTACTTCAAATACTTGTAATGTAATGACAATATTAAGGCAGTCTACTTAGGGATGTATATATGCAACAAAAGAGATTAATCAAATGAAATCCTCAATATCGACAAAGAGAAGATCTAAACTCTTACAAGTGAATTATAACCGTATTAAGTTATTGAAGAGAAAAATGAGTTTTGGTTCGAACTATTTCATTCTCCTATATGGAAGAAAGTTTTTTTTTTAAACATTTTGATTTAGTATACTGACCCCTCTCTCTGTTACTGTTACAACTAACCAGTTGTATACATCAACTCGTAAATTTCCCGATATACCGATGATGCTCAATGCAATGAAAGGTGTAAACTTCATTTTAGACATATTAGCACTACCCGTAATCATTTTTTGGGTAGATGTTAGTTATACAAGCGTAAAACATCAAAACTACCTCAGTCTAGCAACATTTATAGCCTCAGAAGGAGGTTTTGTGGAGATTTCAGTAATTTTATAGTTGAATTCATGAGTCAATTGAAGCTAGACCACCATGGAAAACCTGGAAGCACAAGACGGACGTTTCATCCTAGTATGGGACTCCTCGTCAAGTGATTTAACATCTGCCTAGTATAAACAGATGTCTAATCTAATTCAATCTGTAGTCCCATCATACAAAAGATATTTTATCAGCAAGTAATTGAAATATTTATATACTTTCTACCTTCAAAAGTCTATGTCAAACAATGTAGAGCAGTATACTCACTTTTTAAACAACAAACGTCTATCTCATATGTGAGTTACAATTTGTGCAAACACATCACATATATACAACAATCAGTGCTGTTTGACAAAAAAAATACTGGTCATCACTATAAATGAACAAATGATAACACTCCAAACTATTATTATCTTTACTGTGTTTATTTTATATTTATTTATTTGAACACATAAACATTGGTAACATATGCGCCACACAATAACAATGAGGCCAGGAGTAGTTATCATTGATTATATGTGAGGGCTGTGATACCACCCGGGTGTCCAAATCAAAGCGGGTGGTTCTTATACGAGACCACACTTGAAGCCTTCGACCTAGAGGTCTAATCCACAAGGTAGTAAAGCAACGTTAAAAGATGCAGTCGCATGCTAGCCGGTTCATACGCTATTGATTCCCTCAGAATCCTGGAACCAACCCTATGTGCACCATTAGTTTGGAATCAGGGTTTTCCAATTCGGACTCTCCGTTTCCACCAATCCAGTTAAAGCGCCGGGCATAAGGTTTTCATCCTTTCAATTTCGTAAACAACATTTCAGTGGTTAGAAGGCAGTGAGTAGGACTTCTATGGCAGTGGTTGTATACGCGTAGCCCCATGTGAGAGGATTTAAAGAAGGAAATTTAACTCTCCCCACCTACAGCTGTACCTAGGGCATTTGGGTGGTAGAGGCATTCAATGAAAGAAAGAAAAACAAAACCCACCCAATTCATTTATTTGAGTATAAACATGGAAGTTTTTCAACAATATTATACACTCTATATACTTACTGCATAAATATTAGCTGTATCACGATTTTTTCTTTCTAATCGATGAATTTTCCAATCAGGCAGATTAGATGAAATAGGATGATAACCTGGTATTTGATTGGCATCAACTATATTGTATCATATAAATATGTAAAGAATAAAGGAGATATATATATATATATATATATATATATATATATATATATATATATATATAATTCAATTGATAGTTCAGGTTTATAATACTTTTACTGAATCCATTGAAGAATGATTATAAATCAGAGCTTGAATGCTATTGGAAGAATTAGTTACGAATTTCTTCTGTACACATAAATTGAGGTTATATGTACGAATTCCTATGGCTTCAGCTACATGTAGGAGACGGGAACGAACCCTGTTGGGAAATGATGGAGATATACGATAGATCATTCAAAATGTTTTCGATTTATCTACACAGCATGACCGCTATCAATAAGATGTGCCAATATAGAACTGCGAATTGTTTTTATCTGGCCCTTTATAAACCAAGCTGGTAGATGTTCACTCATTAGTTGGTTAAGTTGCCTGGTAGTAAGCCCGATATAGCTATCTCCACAGGAGCAGCTGAATTCATAAATGCACATTGAGGAGACCAACTCAAGTAACTTATCCTCCGTTTGCGTAGACATCGCTGGTCGACAGGAGAAAGTCAACGCAAGACATTCTACGCAGCCAATCTTGCGTAATATAATTAAGGCTATGTTAGTACATATTTTCATTATAAAATTGATTTTAAATGAGTAAATAATATTTGCCCCTCTAATGCTATGGTACAACTGAGAGTGGGGAGAGTTAGCTCTCCATCACGAAAACTGCTCTCATATGGTCACGTACAAACAGCCATTACAAAGGAAGTCCTAGTCACTCCCTTCTCGCGGCAATACTGTTGTTTATGAAATTGAAAGGATGAAAAGTGAATGTCCACGGCTTTAACAGGGTTTGGTGGATACGGAGAGTTCACCTAGGGGAGTTGTAAAGCACAAATTCGAAAACAATGGTGTACATGGGTTCCAGTATCGTAAAGGAACAAATGACGTATGAACCAATCGTTGGCCACCGACTAGCATGTGACTGTATCTCCCTACGTCATTCCACTGCCTTATGGATCAGATCTTTAGGTCGAAGGCTCCAAGTGTGGCTCTGAGCAGAACCCCAGCCCTGACATGTATGGGATGATTTATGTGGCGCATATCTATTTGGTGCCACCTTGTACTAATATTTATATATTGATATAAATATATAAAAGAATAAAACTTTAAATCAGAAGATTTATGATTTTTGAAAAGATTACAAGTAAGATTCCTATCTATCTAAGGGATTAATCACAGAGTTATAATGCAACGTATTAATTCAGTAAACCTTTATAAACCATACAACTTTCAGTCACAATTATCCCATATGAAAGCTAGAGACACTATCCAGTTACTTAAATTGTAATAAATGGACAAAGGTTTGAATTTGCACAACTCTAATGTTTTAAAAGTATAGGGCATTGATTATTAAGGCTACTGCTTTATATTCAATCTTTATGGTAGTCCCAATCATAACTGTTTGATGTGGTAGTCAAGTTTTCTAATCGTAATGACTCAATCGAGTTTTACAGGTTGGTGCACTCTTTGTCTATGATAAGAGTAAATCAAGCAAACTCATGGTTCAAATTTATACAGTCGTTTGTACTAGGGTATGATAAAAATCAAGCGTTTCACCCACATAGCCAATATTTGCAAGGAAAGTGGAAGTCAGAAAGATCAACCTTGAAAATATCATACCTCACCTTGAATCATGAATTCCCGTCGCTGCTCATAAAATATGAAAAATACGAAACTAACATATCAAGAACTACATAAAAAGACGTTGAGTAACCGTAATCAATTAGCTACGGTTTAATCTCTCAATTCATAATCCCATGTTGCCTTATCCAGATTACTTATTAGATATCACACGTAGATGTGATATTTGTCCATACATTATTATTATATTTTATTTAAACACATAAACATTGGTACAAGGAGGCACCAAATATATATGCGCCACACAAATCATTCGATTCGTGTGAGGGCTGAGATACTGTCCGAGCGCCTAGATCGAAGCAAGTGATTTTTATAGGGGACCACACCTGGAGCATTCAGTCAAAGATCTGATCTACAAGACAGTGAAGTGATGTAGGGAGATGCAGTCCAATGCTAGCCGGTGACCAATAATTGGTTCATACGTTCATTTGTTCCTTCAGGATATTGGAGCCCATATGCACCATTGATTTGGAATCAGAATTTTCCAACTCCCCCAAAGTGAACTCTCCATGTCCATCATACATACAGAACAACATTTGAGTTTATAATTCGGGCAGTTATTACTGATTGCCCACTTAAAGTACTTTGAAGAAAAAATCATTTTTTACAAAAGTTTCTCTCATATAAAACTAACCAATATTGAATTGATTAAATATGGTCAATGTTTGTGGATCCAAATTCATTGATTGTACATGAATAAACGATGAATCTGAAAATGCAAAAAAATACGTTACTAATTAAGGTGATGATGAATGAGTATTATTACAAACGACACTAAAAGGGAATATTATGGTTTACGTTAAATAAGAAACTGAATTAACTGAGGTAACTATTGAAAACTAGTAAGAATTAGACAGTGGCAATTCATTCCGTCTTACTTTATGGCAGTGAAATATGGCCGCTAAGGGTAAAAGATATTCGTAGGTTAATAGTATTCGAAGCATTGCTCGTATATCTTGGGACCACCCAGTAAGTAATACAAATGTTATGAAACGGGTACTAGGTAAGGAAGGCAAATCAATTGATGAAGTAGTGAAACTTCATCAGTTGAGATGGCTGGGACATGTGTTACGTATGCCCAACCACCGACTGCCCCAACATGCGATGTTTTATAGTGTAGGAATAGGTTGGAAGAAAGCTAGGGGTGGCCAGAACAAAACATGGCACAAATCCATGAAGTCACTGACAAGTAAACTGAGCCATGTTAGAAAGTGTAGACTATCTGATTGGAATACGCGAGATGATAGCAATAGATGGTTAAAGACCTTGAATAACATGGCTCAAAATCGTTTGCGATGGCGCAAATGCATACACTCTTTGTGTTCTCCCATATTCTAGTATTCTGAATTCTTCATGTCCCTTTCTTTTTTCTCTCTTCAAATTTATTTCACTGGTTTATAATCCTTGAACAACATCTTCAAACCTTAATCTTTTCGATCACTACTTATACTTTCACTACCTCTACCACTATGGGATTCGAATCAACAATTGTATCTCTGTGCTAATGTAGTATGGTAGCTCGAACTGATGTACGTAGGTACGAAGTTCTACGTTGTTACTGACTGACTGACTGATTGAGTATGGACTTTACCAAGAGTATGCATTCATGAATCTACCAGAGATTGAGTCCTGAACCTTCAGTTCTCATTCAGAGAGCTTAACCTTTACATTACTCAACACTTATTGATTTACATGTTCAACATCGATTAATTTATTAAATTGTGCAACCACACTGCAAAATATTTGAGATCATGAACCGAGATCGAAGGCCCTGGGTTCGAATCTCGCGGGGTGCGGGATTGTGGATGCGCACCGCTGAAGAGTTCCACAATAGGACGAAACGGTCGTCCAGTGCTTCCAGGTTTCCAAAGGTGGCCTAACATCAATCGGTTCATGATCTCAACCAAAAACTTAATAATCTCCACAACCCCTATACTTGCAAAATATTGTTAGGCAGCTCTATCTCGTAGTCAATATGGTTGAAGCCAGATAGATGAAGACTAATTAAATTATGAATTCGATATTTGTGAGCTTAATGAATGTAAATCAGAGATTAAACAGAACATTGTAAGTAAAGTGATTCGTTACATAATAATAGACAGAAAAAGGAAATTCAACTGACATATGATCATCACTGGACTTAAAATGCATCCATGTACACAAAACAAGTTATTTAGTTTGTTTGCTTTGATGACAATATTCAACTACACTCTCGTCCTATAATTTGTGCTAGTTAGTAGTATTGGGTAAGGGATACCTGTGATCTTGATCGGATGGATCCTTCTAGTAAAGTTCAAACCCATGTTAACCAGTTTCACAGTATGAAACCTTACCATTATTGAGTTATTCAAGGAGCTACAGGCTTCTTGTAAGAATGATATAACTAGATTGATTGATCACAATATAAATTCTATGCTTGATTGAATCGTATTATGTTCTCAACAAGATACAAGCTTAAATAATAGTGAAGTTCTACAGATTAAATAGATTCATTAGTTGAAATTACAAATAGAAAGAAACGAGCATCTTATATCTCACTGATGATCATAATAGATCTTTACGAGATTTAGCTTATTAATCAATAGTGACAGTTATCATATCCCAGTACATAAAATATAGACTTGACAAATGCGTTGATTATTAAAACTTCCTTTCGTTTGCACTGGAATCGTTCCGTTCAACAGGACAAGATACTATTAAAAGTAGTATATTTCTATTTTATTTACTACGAACAGGAAAGTAGTGTTATAACTTGTGCCCTGTGTCCCCTATCAATGTAATAACGTAATGATACCGCCAATTAGAGAACAATGAATTATGACCAATGACGCATAAACCAGTACAAGTCTAGAGTCATATCGGTCCTGCTTCCTGCCTAGCCCTGACTGTCAAAGTTCAGAACACCAATCTTAGCTTCTGCAATATGAATCATAATATTTCAAACATACTGGGGTTCATATACACCAACCAAACAGATCACATCGTACCAGAAAATAGGAAACAACATTTGTACAAGATCTGACCAAAAGTGGCTGTGAATAAGGGAGGTAGTAATCGATAGACAGGGGCATAACTCAAGAATGGTAAGTCGTATAATAATAGTTCATAGGTCAAAATAAAGCTTATAATAAGAAGAATATGAATATGTATAGTTTAGTTATTAAACAATTATACGATAAAAATATACGTATAGTATTGGTCCAGAAATAGATTCCAACAGTTACCATTCATTATTCTCATCAGGATATAACAGATAAGTGACTTAATGTTCTTAATCATCATAATACTAATGAAAACTAACTTACTCGATGGACAATCAGAAGATGAACGAGGTTGTAACGATGTTGTACTATTAAATTGATGAACAATATGTGAATTCAACTGTTGATGATGTTGTGATTGTTGACTGTGAATATAATGATTTGTGGAATTGTTTACATCATTATTAATAGTACAATGTGAAGAATGAACACGATTTTGTAGTTTTGATAATCCATTAGGTATATTTCCTATTATGAGAAAAAAACAAAACAAACAAGCAATCGGTTGTAATTGTACAAACAGATTGGTAAAATGTAATCTTTTTTCTTTCTATTTTTCAAGGGACTATAATTTATGGACGAACCAATCAGAATCACGATAACAGGTCTTGGATTTCGGCGCGAAATTCATTCATTTATTTGGCTAAATAGAATCTTGGCATTTTAGCTGATATCAGTCCATGATGAAAACTCGATATCAAATCTTTATGCTTAACGATCAACTGTAAATCACAATCTTATTCCTTGATACAGGGTTAAAACCCTCATTTAGCCCTAATCAGTAGGTGGACATTTTCGAGGCTATTTTAGCGTCGTTCAAAGGTCATCCCCATATAATCTCACCCTATTTTCTTTTAAACAAGGTTCACACACTTATTCACACTTACAGGGTAGTAAGTTGTCATCACATTAACTTCATCTGAAGCCCTTCTCAAGTTACTTTCGGTCCTAAGCCCACGTAAAGGAAGAAGATTGATATGTGGCTACCAACATCATCACGTAGAAAAGAACTTAATGAAACACCAACAGGAAAAAATCACACTAAATTACTGATTTGATGATATCAGTAACCGTTATATTCTAACAAAATCAAGTCTGTAATCTCATGATCTAGTTAATAGAATAAATCAAGTTTACAATGAGTCAGTTTACTTATCTAGTATACAGTCTATACTCTATCATAAACAAATGTATGTTTTATATTTCACCATATGAAAAACAGCGATACTATAAATTATGGATCGATTTGTGTGAGGGCTACGATAGTGCTCGGGTGCCCAGACCGAAACAAGTGGTTTTCTTATGGGGGCACACCCCGAGTCTTTGACCTAAATTTCTAATCCAAAAGATAGTGGGACAACGTTAGGAGATGCAGTCGCATGCTAGCCGTTGACCAACAAAAGGGTCAAACGTCATTTGTTTTCCTAGGATACTGGAGCACAGGTGCACCATCGGTTTGGGATAGGGATTTTTCAACTCTCCTAGGTGCATCTCGCATATCCACCAACCTGGTTTAAGAGCCGGATATTCACTTTCCGTCCTCTCAATTTTGTAACCAACACCACTGACACGAGAAGGCAGTGAGTAGGACTTCTCTGGCAGTGGTTGTATACACGTGGTCATTTGAGATCATTTCGAGAGGGAGAGCTGACTATCCCCCACCCTCGATCTGTTCCTTTTGAAAATGCCAATTAATCATCTCAGAATTCACTGTTCTTTCATTTACACAGCAATCGTTCTCTGTTCTCGTTCGATTTTCATCGATCTTCTTAATCTTCTACCGTCAGACATTTCACTTTCGATTAATGATATATACTACTGATATCTATCGACATTAGTAACACACACCACCCTAGTAACTGATTCATTTTAACAAACTATTCATAAACTCTTCTCAAAAAAAAATATTCAATCTCGATAAGTAACTATCTATCTACCTATCTTAAAAATAAATTTTAAAATTAATTTCCCCAATTGAAACATTGAACATATATATCTTCTATTGTAAACAAATGGATTATTGAAGATAAAGGATTTTAATTAAATGATTCTAATAATGATTGCTGTATTAATCCACTTGTAAAATTCAAACGTTAAAGCAAAAACAAAAATTAATATTTAATGAAAACCAAAGAGTAATGACAGGAATAATTTAGTAATCTTAATGATTGAGATCATGAGTCAATTGAAGTTAAAACACCATGGAAAACCTAGAAGCACTGGACGGTTGTTTTGTCCTACTGTGAGACTCATCAGCAGTGCGTATTCATGATCCCGTCTCGCGATGTTCGAACCCAGGACTCATGATCTCAACTATTAATATTACTATAATATCCACAAAAACCCCTTCTGATACTAGTCAGTATATGCTCACTAGTGACTAGCCTTAAGAGGTATTTCCTGGAGTTCTGGTGAGAAGCTGAGACCAGTGAAGTTCAACCGGTTCTGTTGTGAGATACTAACTCACTGATGACAATAGCGGATGTGTCACTCAATTTCGTGGATTGATTGAAGTTAGAGAATAACACCGTTGGATGCCGGTCGGCTAAGTGGTCTAGTGGTTAAGCGCTTGAGTGTGAGACTGATAGGTTCTGGGTTGTGCACCGATGAGGAGTCCCATACTAGGACGAAACAGTCGTTCAATGGTTCCATGTTTTTCATAATGGTCTGTCTTTAATTAACTCATGAATTCAACTATAAAATCCCTATAAGAGTTGATCAAGTAAGGCAGTAACAAGTAAGAACCTACTCGACATAACATCTTGAATTTCGCTAGGAAAATCTTAAGGTTGATTGGTTTCTCAGTAGAATATGCTTTTACTGAAAGAGTTTGTATGTGTATAGATATTATGGTCAGAGGATTGAATAAAAGTTTGTATTAAGAATGAGTATACAATTAGCTAAACTGATTTAATGATATATTTTTGGAGAGGGAGTTAATAAGTAAAGTGAATCACAATGGCTTTAAATGATTAAATTAAAGCAAAAACTTCACTATAATGGTGACCTAATCGAATTAATTAATTAATTCTTAAATGAATGAAATAATTGGATTGGTCCCTAACGAATAGATTAGAGAACTGTTTTAGTAAAGTGAATTGTAGAAATTGTAGACTGTAGTAATTTTACATTGTGGATTGATTTTAGTTAGATAACCATCAAAAAACAAGAAGCAACGAATAAATGTCTTATCTAAATAAGAGACTCTTCAAGATTCCTTGTCCATAACTCCTTAGAGAATTGAATATTTGTTCTTTAAATCTAGAGGCAAGTGCCTAACCACTGGACAACTGAGTCAACATACAATAGTTTTTTTCATCAAAATTATTTCACTTCGCAATCCGATTAGTAAACACAAAATCACTTTGAGATGATGAAGCGATCAATATTAGACCACTATTAAAAACCTGGAAGCACTGGACGGACTTTTCATCCCAGTATAGGACTCCTCAACAGTGCGTATCCACGATCCCGCGCCCCGCGAGATTTGAACCCAGGACCTATCGGTCTCGCACCAGGAGCCTGACCAACTAAACCACTGAGCCGGCATCCAACGGTGTTAATGTCTAACTTCAACCAATCCACGAAGTTGCGCAATCGTACACCATTATCTTCAGTGAGTCTAGTAGGTCTAGTAGGTTAAGCGCTGGCGCGAGACTGATAGGTCCTGGGTTCGAGTCTCGCGGGGCGTGGGATCGTGGGTGCGCACTGCTGATGAGTCTCATACTAGGATGAAACGGCCGTCCAGTGCTTACACGTTTTCCATGGTAGTCTAGCTTCAATTGACTCATGATCTCAACTTGGGAAGAGAAGAAAGTAAAAACAAAACACATATCTATTTACAAATGAATAAATCGACTTACCATTACCAGAATTAAATGTTGTACATGATGAATTTGTTTGATAATACTCCTCTGGAAGGACTGTTGATGTAGATTGATAAGATGAATTAGTCGATATAGAGCTAAGAATTATGATTGGATAAAACAAATAAATAATGAAAAAAAGTAATTAAATAGATTATTATTATTATCAGAAGGGTTTTTGTGGAGGTTGTAGTAATTTAAACAGATGAGATCATGAGTCAATTGAAGCTATACCACCATGGAAAACCTGCATGGCCGTTTCGTCCTATTGTGAAACTCCTCAGCAGTGCGCATCCACGACCCCGCCTCGCGGGATTCGAACCCAGGACCTATCAGTTCAACCGGATCATTTGTGAGATAGTAACTCACTGATGACAATGGTGGATATGCCGCTCAATTTCGTGGATTAGTTGAAGTTAAACATTGACACAGTTTGGTGCCGGATCAGTGGCCTAGAGGTTAAGCACCTGACACGAGACTGATAGGTCTTCGGTTCGAATCCCAAGAGGTGGGGTCGTGGATGTGCACTACTGAGGAGTCCCACAATAGGACGAGACGGCCTTCCAGTGCTTCCAGGTTTTCCATGGTGGTCTAGCTTCAATTGACTCATGATCTCAACTGTTTAGATTATTATTATTATTAATAATGGCTTTATTCACTATTCTTCTTGTGATACAATATAGAATTCTCAGCATAAAGTATTTCAGTGAGTTTCCTTTCCTTATTTCCTAATCGATCCTGACGATAAATATTCAGTGATAGCCAATTAAATGTTAGCAGTTCAGGAATCGATATATGAATAATATATATCCTTTTCGATGCATACTATCAACAACTGTGATGTCTTTGATTGGGCTCTTTCCTAACACATATACAATGAAAGGTTGTACACATTTCACAAACTCATCCACACAGGATGCACATACGCCAACAAGAGACTGATTAATTGCAATCCTAAATAACAATGGGAAGTTACAAGTAAAAAAATACCAAGTGAATTAACACTTCACTCCATTGTACAAGCGAGTGGTTATCAGGACTCAGTAGCTAAGTGGATCACGTGATGGTGTTTGAATCGAACGGTACGGCGTTCGAGTCCCAGAGTGAACATCAAATCGGGGATGCAAGTACATCCAGTTGACGAGTCCGAAATAAGACGAAACGTGCGTCCTGAATTCCACTGCTAGCCACTAACCATCTTTACTTAAAATTACTTTAGATAATGTTTGAAGTTGATTTACTAATAAAACTAGTATTTATTATTCATTATGATCAATTTCTAAGATAATTATCAGGATTCGAGTAAGTTGATTATATTTATTACAAACTTACTACTGAAATATAATATAAGTAGTTGAACAATATGGATATTTACTTGTAACAAATTGAACATGAACTCCACCTCTCCCTCATGTTGATATACTTGAATAACTAAGTACAAATTGATGTAACCAATTGTGGGTTTGGTAGTTTGTATAAGGTGGTTTAGTGATATTACATTGAAGTTGAATAATTCTAAACATTTAGTCGTTACTTAATCAGCTAAGTTGAGCCTTAGTCGGTCAACCATATAACTTATTGGCTAATCTAGATATTCATTATAAAGTAAGCTTTACATTAATTTATACGACAACATGTATTTAGTCAATGATATTACTCAACATTCATTATAGTTGGTTGAAAAGTTCATGGGAATCCGTATTTAGAATGACGTCGTTTTTCATATCAACAAGCTATCAGATGAATCCCTAAAGTTTTATTGAGAAATCATAACTAGTAATCTCAATCATTTCGAGATAATGAAGCAATTATTCACCAAAGATAACACTATATTGATAACAAACCCAATAGATATATATTGTCAATTGCTTGAAACTGAAAACATGGACTATTGAATTGTAATTTAGTAGTTTAAAAACACAGTTTATCATGATAGTTGACAATTACGAGTTCTAGATTATCAGTATGTACTTATTAAGACAATTGAATTTAAGTAAAATAACTATCCACTGTTTTCTGATTTCCAATTATGAATAAGAACCATAAGTATAAAATGATACTTAGCCAATGCATTTATTAAACCATAGTGTAATATACAACTAGCTAAGAAGTACGCCTTAACCATCTCTTCCATTGTACCGAGGTAGATACCTGTCTCTTCCTGACACGGATTGGTTAGACTTGTTGATGTTAGACATTAACACCACTGAATGCCGGCTTAGTGGTTTGGAGGTTAAGCGTTCACGCGTGAGACTGAAGTTCCTGGGTTCGAATCCCGCGAGCGGGATCGTGGATGCGCACTGCTGAGGAGTTCCACAATAAGACGAAGTGGATGTTCAGTGCTTCCAGGTTTACAATGGTGGGTCTAACATCAATCGATCCATGATTTCAATCAAAAACTTAATCATTCATTTGACAAATGGTAGGTTGCTTTCATCTTCTTACCATAAATTTAGCATTTAATCATAATGAATTGACCTATTTGGTTTTCTATTCAGTAATTAATAATTATACATCCCTACAATGAACATACATGGAAAAGAGGAAGGCCAAAGAACACAATGCATCGAGAATTGGAAGCAAACATGAAAAAGATAAATAACAAGTGGAAAGAACTATAAAGGATTGTCTAGGACATGATTGAATGGAGAGTGCTAGTGGGTGGCCTATACTCTTCAACGAGGAGTAACAGGTGTAAATAAGTAAATAAACATAACAAGATACAAGAATAATCATAATTCTATTTTAAATGACCTCCATCATTATTTAACATATTTACATAAAACTAACAATAATTATAAATGGAGACAGACATGAGAAGAATGAACAATAATTAGATAGAACTAGAAAGGAAGGTCAAGGACAGAATGGGTTGGAGAATTCTAATCGGCGGCCTATACTTCATTGGGAGTAACATGTGTAAGTATGGAGGTATCAATAATGATAAAAAATGAGACGTTCATTATTCATTCACTTAACTTTCTGTTGTAAATCTGTTAGGTTTTTGGCACGATACAATAATGGGCGTTCTCTTGTTTGTTTGTTTGTTTTTATTAGGCTAACTGTACTCAAATCTTATAATTACAGTAACATAACTACATCAAGGTTATACAAATTAAAAATGATAGAAATGTTTAATGGACTGTAAACAATTATTTCTCAAATTCATTTTATTAAATAAATGATGGACACTATGCTAGAGTAGCACTGATTAGTGAATCTCACACTTTACAGTATTATTATTTATTTTATTTGAACATGCCCCCAAATGCCCTGGTATGGCCGAGAGTGGGGTGGGCCCTCCCTCCCTTTCGAAATGCTCTCACACGGCCACGCGTATACAGCCTCTGCCAAGGAAATCTTACGCAGTGGCTTCTCGCACCAAAGGTGTTGTTTACGAAATTGAGAGGACAAAAAAAAGCGAATGTCCGTTGCTTTAACCGGGTCCCAAACCAATGGTACACATGTGCTCCACAATCCTGAAGGAACAAATGGCGTATGAACCAATTATTGGTCACCGGCTACCATGGGACTGCATCTCCTCACGACGCTCCACTGCCTTATGGATTAGACCTTTGCGTCAAAGGCTCGGGGTGTGGCCCCCCTAAGAAAACCACCTGCTTCGGTCTGAGCACCCAGGCAGTATCACAGCCCACACACAAATATGATGAAATTTTGTGTGACACATATATATTTGGTGCCCTCTTGTACCAATATTTATGTGTTCAAATAAATAAATAAATATTTGAACACATAAACATTGGTACAAGAAAGCACCAAATATATATGCATCACAATTTGTCATTCGATTTGTGTGAGAGCTGGAATACTGCTTAGACACCCAAACTGAAGCAGGTGGTTTTCTTCAAGAGTCACTCTGCGAACCTTTGACCAAGAGGTCTAATCGATAAGGCAGTGGGACGACATCAGGAGATGCAATCCCATGGTAACCGGTGACTAAAGATTAGTTCATATGCCATTCGTTCCTTTAAGATCCTGCAGCCTGTGTCCATCAACCCGGTTAATGTGCCGGACATTCGCTTTTCGTCCTCTCAATTTCGTAAACAACACTAATGCCGCAAGAAGGCAATGAGTAGGACTTCCCTGGAAGTGGCTATACTAACAAGAATTATTGTTCAATAAAATTCATCCTATCAACCAATCAATCAATCCATCAGTTATTTGATACCTATACATGAAGCCTAGTACAAATGTGTATTGATCCAAGTTATTACACTATGTCAACATAATGAAATGAAAATGACGAGATGAAAACCATAAGACATAATCAATGATAGTGGGAAATACCAGATATTGGTGAAGATAGAATAGAAAAGATGGAAAGTATGAAATATTATTTACATCTAAGGATCAAGGGAGGATAAGTAACGAATGGACTTGGGTGAGATTATAATTTATGGACGACCTTTGAGCGACGCCAATGTGACCTTCAGAATGTCCATCTACGAACTGGGAGGAAATAGGGGTTATGAGGCAGTATGAGGAATCAGAATTATGATTTACAATTGATGGTTAGGAATTAGATTTAGGGTTTTCATCACGAACTGACATCAGCTATAACATCAAAACGCCATTTAGCCAAACGGGCGGATGAATTTCGGGTCAAAATCTAGGACTTGTTATCTTATGTTTGATTGGTTCGTCCATAAATTATAGTCTCGCCATGGATTTGTGTCATTGCAACCAATTATAAACCAAGTCACCATCAAACATTTTCAACTATTGATCGCAGTTAACATGAAGATCCACAACCAAGCCATTCTTTGCTCTTTAGCAGATTTCAATCAACGTGAATCAGAGTGATAAGAATAGATTGGTTAACTAGTTCGTTTAATGAAATCGGACTTGGAGACGCATATAATAGGAGAAGCAAACTCTAACATACTTAGTTCCGTATGATATGAAGAAACGTTGAATATACATTGAAGAAAACTAATTTATACAAATACACCCAAAATTTACCATAGCTAATGTCTCAGTCTAGGGTATATACCTCCAAACTAGAGTACATACAGTCCAGAACAAAGCTATGTGTGTACTAAGGGTTACACAAGTGAATGTTAAATCTAATCGGATCTCTTCGACAGTATAAAACGTTTTTCGAATAGGAACTATGACTGGAAGAAGTGTATATAGATATGGTATATAACTTTCACTGAACTAAACACGTAACAATAACATTATACATACATTATTCCATAGCACTCAGTAGATCAAGTAACTCACAACATAAATGGGTAGCTGATAACAAAAACAAAGTTAAGACAAAATAAAGTTTGTTAAATGTTTAGACTCATTACAAGTTTATGCACTCAGGTTTAAGTTTTAATGTCTGTGTATTGCCTAGTGATACACATCGATTAATTTAACAGAAGAAGGAGGACGAGTGGCGAGATTCAGAACTTAAGACTTAATGATTGATTCGAACATTAACCCATTGCTTTGATACTTCGAAATTGACTCAATCAATTTAATGTTAAACATTAGCTCACTAACTATATATCATAATGATTTACCATTATATACTTTATCACTGTTATTCTTAGCATTACAGATCGAAATGAAAAGACCGATAACTAACTCACCATTTATCATTTAGAAACTTTCCATTAACATATAATGAATCAGTAAATGATTTATGATGATTGGACATAGTAGTTGTAGTAGCAGTGGTAGTAGTAGTAGTAATGGTAACATTGGTAGAATTAGACGAGAATGGATAAGCTAAAGTAGATGATATATTATTGTTTGCACAGACATTCCGTTTTGATAATTTTCCCGATGGAATATTCATCATTTGATATGAATGATTCATATTGGATGACTGAAATAAACAAAATTAGATTGAATAAACAGATAAGGAGAAATGGTATTTTCAATTATCATTTTCTTTTCTATAATCTTAAAAATAAAAATGATTATAACCAGAGAGGGATTAAGCGTTCACGCGCGAGACTGATAGGTCTCGGGTTTGAATCTTACGGGACGGGATTGTGGATGAACACTTCTAAGGAGTCCCCATACTAGGATGTAACGGCTGTCCAGTGCTTCCAGGTTTTCCATTATGGTCTAGCTTCAATTGACTCATGAATTCAATTATTAAATAAACATGATATTCAGAAATCTACTTCAGACTCAATTTTTGTAACATAATGGAAAAGTATGGTAATACCATTAAGTAATCAAGTATTCAGTTTCAGGTTATAATTTGGATAAATAGCGTTAATGTACTGATATAAAGACCACAAATTATCTTGTTTATTTGGGTACTTTTGCTAATGCCAACAAATCCCCTGATACGACTGAGAATGGGGAAAGTCAGCTCTTCCTCCCCAAATCCTCTCACATGATTACGTGTGAACAGCCACTACAACGGAAGTCCGACTCACATTAGGAGTGTTGTTTAAGAAATCGACAACAAGAAAAGTGAATATTTATCTCTCTAACCGGGTTGGTAAATATAGTGGGTTCACCTAGGGGAGTTGGAAAACACTAATAACAAACTAATGATACGCATAGGCTCCAGGATACTGAGGAAACAAATGGCATATGAACCTATAGTTGGTCACCGACTACCATAGGACTGTATCTCGTAACTTTGCTCCACTGACTTATAGATTAAACCTTTAGGTTAAAGGTTCGGAGAGTGACCCTCAAAGAAAACCACCTGATTCGGTTTAAGTGTCCGAGCATCATTCCAACCCTCATACATGTTTGATGCCTCTTTGTACCAATGTTTATGTATTTAAATAAATAAACAGATACACTTTTGCTAACAAGTGGTACTTTTGATATGTAAGGATGTCCACAGTAACGTATTTCTAATGCATATTTCCCCACTGATCTTTGCTATAATCTGATTGGTCATATTCTCGACTTTAGTTTGATATTTTTTGTGCCTCAAATTTATCTTTCCTGGTATATAAACTGAGTTATTTTGTTTCAATTTTAACTTTGTTGAAAATCAAGCTTTTACCCGAGTTTCACAACTTCTCTTTGAGGGATTATTTTTGAAGTGTTGTGTATTATTCTTTCAACCCATCAAGTTCTCATAGATTCTATTCAACATTAAAAGAACCTACCAAACACTTGTAATTCAGTTCAGAGTGAAGCAGTATAAGTATTGGGTTCAAAGATGTTACCAAATCATTTAAAACTGGTTACTTTCACAAAAAAGGGAAAGTATTTTAGGAATAAAATGGTTTACTCGATCATAGTAATCATACTATTTTTAGGATAATACCTATTTTGAATACATCAGAAATCTATAAGAAGAACATGTCTAAATATTTCGATCCTAGATACAGAGGTTAATAAATAACTATGACTTTTGAGTATAGAAAAATTCCAAGCGACTTCTCCAATTAAAGGAATCATTGTTTACTTCACGGATTGAAGTTAGTTAAAAGAAATCACTGAAAACTAAAAAGCATTAGATAGTTGTTTTGTTCTAACATAGGACTCTTCAGTAGTGTGCATTCACAAGCTACCGCAGCATCGAATTCAAGACCAAAAGATCTTATAATAAACATTTATAAATCTGATACCATTGAGTTGGCAACCTATGGTTTATAATGTTAACCTCAGTAAATCTCTTATATTGTTAGCTAAGGTCAATCAGTTTTTGTATTAAAAATGTCATAGTGACAAACTCTATTAATATATTACATAATGTACTATCAGCATAAATTACTTTTCAACTATACTTATCATCTTTATATACTAATAAGAAAAGGCTAATCAATTTTTAGCATATATATAACCGATAGGTCTGTAGCGGCATTGGGCCCCTAACCACACAATCATCAAAGCTGAACATGAGACAATTGAGTAAACAAATATCCAACATTTTAATGAGGAGAAAAACCCAACGATGGGGGCAGGAACAATGAATTGAATTAATTCGAATTGAAAGGATGACGTGGCTTGGCCTTGCAGGCGTGGTCCCTGTTGAATGTTATCTGATATATTTCATTCATATTAAATATATTGTTCTATCTCTAGCCTAAGCTTGTTCTTCATCATGTATTGGTTGACGATGCGATGAGTTCGTGTAGAATATGATTTGACTTCCACATAAGATCTTGTAGATTAGGCAGTTAAATCATAACAAATCTACAATTTTAGGATTAGGTCTGTTATTTGAGCAATACTAATATCAAAGTAGACCATAATTCTACAGGTCCTAGGTTTGAATCTCGCTAGGTGAGATCATGAATGCACACTGCTGAGGAGTCCCACAATAGGACAAAACGGTCGTTCAGTACCTCCAGGTTTTCCATAGTGGTCTAGCTTCAATTGACTCATGATCTCAACTATTGAAATAACAAATAAACTAAAAGTATTTTTATTATTCATTAACTTACACTACTTTGATTCATATTTCTATTTAACAATGGTGATGATGATGATGTAGTTGACATGATAACTTCTTGTGTTGCATTATTTTGTGATGCGAGAACAGTTGATGTAGCTAGACCAGTAGTGATAGGTGAATATTGTGAATTAGTAGATAGTGTTGGTTGATTGTACTTGTGATTAATTGATTTGTTTACATTATTAGTATTGTTATTATGAGGTATACAGTCATTGATGGAATTTGGTCGTATTGTAGATGATAAAGTACTTTGTACATTAGAAGTTGCTAATGGAAATAAAAGTAAAGACAGAAGGGATGAGTTGTACACTGCAATTATATTATTATTATTATTATTAAAACGTCAGAGAGTTTTAAGTAGTGGATATGATATCGTTTGGCATCTAAATAGTTTATTGATAACGTCTCAAACCATGAATCTGAATGACTCAGGTTCAAATCTCACATGGAGTACCAGTTCCTTCAAGATTTCAAATACACCTTACTGACAAATGTTAACTATCACTCAACCTAAGTCGAGTAGAGTTCTATACCAACTATCTCTAACCGCCTAGTAGTACATTATTAAAGTAACAGACAAATAAGACATCGATCACTACTCCATGGCCACTTGATTGCAAATCTACACTATTCTCAAGATTCTGGAATAAAATCATAAATAGAGTAATATGAAATTCTTTATCAGTAAGTTTCGTAACAATATTAATCCATTAAAGGAATAAAAACGACTATCACATGGATTTACATCGTGATAAATTGTATTTAACGACAGTTGTCCAAAGAACAAAGTAGCAGAGTATTAGGATCACCAAAGACGTTAAATTATTGTCTACATCGTGATTGATTCATAATCCATAAAATTTGAACATCAATCTACAATATTTGGTTGAAAAGTCTAACCAATTTCAAACATTTAATAGTTGAATTCATGAGTCAATGTAAGCTAGACCACCATGGAAAACCTAGATTGGTTGAAGTTAGACATTAACACAATTGGATGCCGGATCAGTGGTCTAAAGGTTAAGCGTCCGCCTTAGAGACTGATAGGTCCTGGGTCCGAATCTCGCGAGACGGAGCCGTGGGTGTGCACTGTTGAGGAGTTCCACAATAGGACAAAACTGCCATCCATTGCTTTCAGGTTTTCCATAGTGGTCTAGTTTCAATTGACTCATGAATTCAACTATTAAATTATGGAGTGATGCAGAAGTACCATGTTGAGCCTACAAATGTAGTAACAATACTAAAGATCAGCTTAAGACAGATTGGTACAGAGGAAGAAGTATAACGATAGCTAATCACAATAAAATCTGAAATATTAAATTGAATGGTATCAGAATTCCTATCGAGGTGCAAGATTTCCATCAAGTTAATAGTTTAGATACTTAAGCTACTGACAAAACAGGTAGAAATGAATAATTGGCATGAAGAAGATATATTTTCTGTATATTTCTTCCTGTATATCAAACGAAAAACTTACTGCTGCATTGATTTGATATTTTTGCATTACTCATAAGTATACTGCCAAATTTACGTATTATATCTTGTACTGGTAATGTGGTACATTCAATTGAGTGACTATTATTATTATTATTCTCATTTGATGACTCCACTGAATGTTTCGTCTAAGAAAAGAGAAAATGCACACATTAAGATGAGAGAGAGAAAGAGATACAAAGAAAAGAGACAACCGAAATATGAAAAGAATGATTGCTGGGAGACTGAGCCAATATCTGAACACTAAAGAAACTAAGAAATATCTAAAATACACTGGTCAGTAAGTCAGTCAGTTACAAAATCGAACTTCGTACGTACGTATATCAGTTCAAGTTGCCACACCATATTAGCACAAAGATACCATTGTCGATTCAAATCTCGTATTAGTAGAGGCAGTAAAAATATAAGCAGAAATCGTAAAGATTACGGTTTGAAGATGTTAGTCAATGAGTATAATCCAAAGAAATAAATTTAAAGAGAGAAAAAACAAGGGACATGAAGAATTCAAAAGATTAGAATTTGGGAGAACACAAAGAGTGTATGCACCTGCGCCATCGAAAACAATTTTGATCCATGTCATTCAAGGTCTCTAACCACTGGTTTTTATCGTCTCGTGGATCTCAACCTGGTAGTCTACATCAAACAATATGGCTCAGTCCACTTGTCAGTGACTTCATAGATTTGTGCTGGATTATTGAGTGCCTTTCATTTAATTCTAGTGGTACTAATATTTGTATATTATCTAAGTGAAAGGATTCTTGAATTATTCCTAATCTTTTACGTAGCTTTAATTTCTGTACTTTGATTTGTTTAGGGTTGAAACGTCTATGAATAGTGGAATTCTAGAAGAAGCCAAATAAAAATTCAAAGTGTTGTTTAGACATAAAAATAACAGTGAAAATCAATTAGTCACAGTCAACACAAAACCTGGACACTAGCGTGTGTAATAGATAGAGATAGATACCACACGTTTGAATGATCTCATATCATGAAGGTATACAAACTGATTAACCAAGTGATCATCTTCATCTAGTATTATACATTTAGCCTCAAATATTACTCACTCAATGATTTCAATAAATACAATCGGTGACACTATTCAAACTCGTACTGTTATTCATAATCCAGTAACAATTTTCAGTGTGAATTCAAATGATAGCATGGATTGTAGTGATTAGAATGTGATGGAAAGATATACTCTACATATATTTATTTGAATATTGGCATAGCGAACCCTTGTGTCATTTCAAGTTTTACCATTCACAAGCATAGTATGTAATATTCAAATGAAATACATTGATTAGAAAACACATTTTCACAGTATATAAAACAGAATATCATTTTCCTATTTCATTTTTGCATTGGTTGATTGAATCATCCCATTGATGTATAAGGACAGCAAATGATCAGTCTCTTATTGACATATTTGCATCCTGTATGGATTGCCTCGATAATGTCTGAAGTCACAAGTATTATAAGCAGAGATGATAGTGGCTAGCAGTGAAACTCAGTAGTTAAGTTGATAATGAGATGGTGTTTCAAGTAAACGGTATTGGGTTTAGGTGTTCGAGTAAACATCAACTCTGGGATGTAGGCACTTCCGACTGACGAGTCCCAAATAGGACGAAACATGTATTCTGGATTCTAATGCTAGCCAGCATCATATCATTTTCTTATGTTTAATAATTAAAACTCTGCTATTTTACAAAGGTCATAAGCTTGTCATCATTATATATACAGTGAAAGACACAAGGGAGGGAGCATACTTACTTTCGAATGATCTATTCCATTATTTCCAGTGACCATAGCATTAGATGTTATCATAGTGTCAGAAATAGGTGTCTCCATGTCATGATGTTTAGGCCAACTCGGTAAACTTGTTAGTCGAGTGGATGGAGCTCTTTGAGGAATTGATGGTTTTCGTGAATTTGTTGTGGGTATATTATGATGAAACTGTTGTGTATGATGTCCATTATTTGTATTATATGAGTTGATGGTTGATTCTACATGACATTTAGGCTAATCAAGAAAATAATAGGAAAGAACAGATATTTATCTATTTATGTTAACACATAGATATCGGTACAAGGAGGCACTAAATACATATGAGACACACAAATCTCATTCGATATGTGTGAGAGCTGTGATAGTGCTCGGGTGCCCAAACCGAAGTAGCTGGTTTTCTTAGGGAGCCATTCCCCGAGCCTTCGACCTGAAGGTCTGATCCACAAGGCAGTGGCGCATCATAAGGATATGCAGTCCCATGGTAGCCGGTGACCAACGATTGGTTCATACACCATTTGTTCCCACAGGATACTAGAGCCCAGGTGTACCATCGCTTTGGAATACGTTTAAAGCGCCGGATATTCGCTTTTCGTCCTCTTATTTTCGTAAACAACACCCCCGCCACGAGAAGGCAGTAAGTAGGACAGATAGATTCTCATAGTAAATATTTGAGATAGTTTAGGTTATTACTTTAAGCTAATTTCAGTCGAAAAGTATTGTTAGAAAGCTGAATAGAATATAGAGGAAGTCTATAATTCATAGACTGATTTTTTCATCAGTAAACTACCGAAAACTACAAAGAAAATAAATAGCTCTATTTCATCCTATAATTTGAAACTCCATAAAAATGGTAAGCATTTATGGCTTAAGCACATGGAACCGAACTCAAAACTTTTAATAGAAAACCATCAGGTCAGATAAATATAGTACATACTATTTCTAAATACGATCAAGTTGTGATTTAACGGGACAACCAACCAGTCATGTTGGTAGGTAAATAACCATCTTATTATTTTATAAATGAGGGTAACTCCATGGGTTTTAGATTCTTATTAAGACCTCTAAAATTCTACTGAAAACTAGTTGCTAATGAAAAATATTTTGATTTCACAAAGACACTGAATCATCTTATTCTGAAGATTTGAAGGTTTCGGGATCAACTCAGACGGCGAAGCCATGAAATGATACTTCCTAGGAGTTTTAAACTAAGGTGAAATAGATATCCAGTGCTTCAAGTTACTCAATGCTCGTATAGTTAAAGTTAATCCACCGTAAAATTCCTAGCCGCCAAATGCCCTGGTACGGACGAGAATCAGGAGAGTCAGCAATCCCTCTCGAAATGCTCTCAAGTGTCCACGCGTATCCAGCCACTGCCAGGGAAGTCCTACTCAGTGCCTTCTCGCACCAAGGGTGTTGTTTACGAAATTCAGAGGACGAAAAGAGAATGTCCGACGCTTTAACCAAGTCGGTGGATATGGAGAATCCACCTAGGGGAGTTGGAAAACTCTGATTCAAAACCAGTGGTACACATGGGCTCCAGGATCCTAAAGAAAACAAATCACCTAATTTTAGTCACCAGCTACCATGGGACTGCATCTCCTAACGTTGCTCCACTGCCTTGTGGATCACACCCTTAGGTCAAAGGCTCCGGGTGTGGCTCCTTAGGAAAACCACCTGCTTCGGTTTGGTTACCCGAGGAGTATCCCAGCCTTCACATAAATTGAATGATTTATGTGGCGAATATCTGTTTGGTGCCTTCTTGTACCAATGTTTATGTGATCAAATAAATAAATAAATTACTAATAATAATAATGAATCATTTATATTGTTAGTAGGAAAATGAATAGAGAATATGGAATGATTAATGAAATAGAGAACAAATACATAGAATGCAAATGTTTCTCTCATGTTGATTATAAGTTTTTAATAGTTGGATGAGTCAACGTAAGCTAGACACCACCTTGGAAAACTTGAAAGTATTGGACAGCTGTTTCATCAGACAATGGATGAATGGTTGCATAGCTATTCATAGATCTATGGAAACTAGACATTAACATCGTTAGATGCCGGCTCAGTGGTCTAAAGGTTAAGTATTCGCATGTGAAGCTGAAGGTTCTGGGTTCGAATCCCGTGTATGGGGTTGTGGATTTGCACTGCTGAGGAGTCCCATGCTAGGACGAAACTGCTATCCAGTGCTTCCGAGTTTTCCAAGATAGTGTCTAGCTTACGTCTACTCATGGATTCAACAATTAAGATTATAAGTTTGATATGTTTTTTTTCCTATTTCATCATACTTTAACTGTCAAGGTAGAATAGTTAATGTAAACTTAGGGAGTCCTTTCCAATGTTATTAATTAAAAGATTAATAATAATTATCAGAAAATTGATCTTTTGAAAGAGAAGTAACTAACATTAGGAAAATATGATAACTCATTGATTAAGTTAACAGACTGATATACTTAGTTGTAAATCACACTATATCATAGCTAGTAATATGACTACTAATCGGTTGCTCAAACTGAAGTAGATGTAGGGAAGTCAGTCAGTCAGCTACAACGTAGGACCAGGCACATTTATGCATCGGTCCAAGTTGCCATACCTCATTAACACAACAAAATGGACACCGGATTCATAAAAGTAGTTAATTTAGAGGTGGTAATATATAAAAGAAAGGATATAGTACAGGAAGAAAGAATTAGTTTGTAAAAAGAAAGATATGAAGCGATTTTAATCTCTTAGTTTAAGAGAAGATAGAGAGTGTATACACCAACGCCATTGTGATCGATTCTGAACCACGTCACCAAGAGTCTCCAACCATTGGTTACGATAGTCACGCGGACCCCAACCAAGTAGTCTGCATCTACCAACATGGCTCAGACTACAAGTTAGTGACTTCAAGCACTGATTCCACGTTTTGGTTTGGCCGCCCCTAATTTTCTTCCAATCAACCCGAACACCGGTTAGCATTGCACGTCGTGGTAATTGGTGTTCAGATATATGTAACACGTGACCCAACCATCTCAGTCAATGAAGATTCACAGCCTCATCAACTGATTTACCATCATTCCCTAATACCCTGCGTCTAACCTCACTATTACTTACCCGGTGATCCCAGCAGACGCCAGCAATATTTCTAAGGCATTTGTGGTCAAATACTAGTAGCTTACGAGTGTCTTCTACTCTTAATGGCCATGTTTCGCTGCCGTAAATTAAAACAGAACGGACTTCCTGTTAGGGATGCAGAGGAATATACCAATAAATATCATGTTAAGTCTAATGGTGTCCTTGGACTTTAAATGGACATTCCCTATTGGCCAATATTTGTTTCACTTGTTAAATATTGTACAAATGTTGTTTTCTATTTTATGGTACGATGTGGTCCGGTTGATTGGTATATAAATAGAGTATGTCTGAAATACAGTGATTCATATCTCAAAGGCTGTGACTCGTGTTCTGGACTCAACTGACTGGGCTAGACAGGGAAGCAGGACTAATCAGGACTCTAGGCCGTTCATACGTGTTTTATGTGTCACTGATTCGATCAATAAATACGCTATCTAAATCGGCAGTCACACGTTACAACACTGCCGCTCAGTATACTCGTCCTTTTATTGATAGACGGATATTTCGCCTTCGCCGTAGATGACGTAAGTTGGCAAAAGCCAAACGAGCTTTTCGAATCCGTGCTGAGATTTCGTCAGACACCAACCCATTAGGGTTGATTAGACCTGCAAGATAAGTGAAGTTGTCAACGCGTTCTACTACTTCACTCCCTATATTTAGTTCAGGTGTTGACGCAGACCAGTCCTGAAGCAGCAGAGGGAGAGAAGCGCATTCCAAACATTCTGGCATTGTTGCTTAGTGCTACCAAAAGATTCTGCATTTTATCAGCGTCTTCACCAAACAGGACTATATCATCTGCGTATTCTAAGTCGATAAGTGGACCTCCTGGTAGGATATCAATGCCCGAGAATTCAGTAGACGAGAATGTTATTTCCATCAATAGGTCTATGATGAAGTTAAACAAAAATGGAGATAGTGGACAACCTTGACGGACACCACTTGAGGTTGCAAAAGCAGATGACAGTTCGCCATAAGCTCTGACTCGACTGGTAATGTTCGAGTAAAGAGCCTTCACAAGGTTTATGTACTTCTGAGGTACGCCTTTCAATGACAGATACTGCCACAGAATCTCGCAGTCTACCGAGTCAAATGCTGCTTTTAAGTCAAGAAAGACCACCACTGTCAGACGCCGATAAGTACGCCTATGTTCTAGAACCTGTAGGGAAGGTTCGACTAACAACCTACTGTTCGAAAGCCAGATGACTTAAACAATGAACTACTGGTTCATTGAATTTTAGAGTTCATTATAAACAAAATAATTAAATTAGTAAGTCATGTTTATCGTAGAATCTGTTAAGTATGTGAATTCATTCAATATAACATACCACATCAATAAAGTGCAACGAAATGATCAACACAGAACAGTAATAACAGTATTAGAGATATTTGAAGACAATAAGGAATAGACAATAAAGAAGAAGAATAAGTTGATAACAATGAACTAACTTCTAGACAGATTTCCTGAATTTCTTGTGAAAAGATATGACTCGTTAAATGGATAGAATAGGAAATATGGTAGTTAGTTACTTATTAATGACTAATTTCCCACTTAATTATTGAAAGATAATTTGCTTACTGTATTTTAGACATTTCAGATTTAACTTTGTTTAGAGTTCTAGATGTAAACTGGGTCATACGGAATCGAATCAATGAGGGAGCACCAGTTCCCTCAAGATTACAGGTACACCTTGCTGACAACAAATAGCACGAAACTCTGGTCCAGGATTTCCTCTTAACTACCTCTAACCACCATATTATCTCAACATAGTGTACGAAATGTAGAGTCACCTAGACTAGTGGCCACATTGCAACTTGGTCGATAGAATTCGATCTGCACTAAGAACGACATGACATTGATCATCACCCAGTGATTAATCAATTGTGAACTGATTAATACTTTAAAACAATGATGAAACAATTAACATGTTCTCAGTAAATTTTATATTCGACCATTCTATAATGAAGATCATTTTCAAAACTATCGACTGGTTTGAGAAAACATCTACCTGTTATTATTGTCATTGTAGAAACTTTGAAGTTAAATATATTTTTACCTTCTTAACTTATAACAAATATTTCCTCATTATTGATTTTCAACTACACCTAGTGACTGATTCATATGATGAAAAATTACATTACTACCTACTTAGTTGGACACTTTTTACTCCATGGTTATAGGAATTCAACAGGGAAACTTGACAAACATACGTTTCGTGCTGGTAGGCATTCATCAGTAAAGGATATCTGCGACCTTCAAGAAATCGATGCTCCTAAGATTCAAACCAACTTCGCCTACCTTGACAGTCTGTAACGCTACCACAAGGCTATTCCGACTACATTGACAAAGGCCGATGAATTACAAAACACAGGTTGATCTGCGTTCCCTCTGACTACCCTAAACCACTTTAACTAAGAAGAAACATTTGTGTCTAGTGGCGTGCGGTACATTCATTGTTTCTCCAGTTTTAATGTCGGTATGTGTAGCAAAAACAGCCATACAATGATTATAGTTAAACTGAGGTGTGTTTACAGTTGTTGTTCTTTTCACTTCGTTTGAAACGGCAACCGTAAATACCCAACCTCAAGAAATGAAACACATTTGTCAGTTCTCACGTTTTTCTCTATTCCTTAACAATACTGAACCCCCAATTGAATAGGTATGCAAAGGCTCTGACTTTAAAGTATAATTCAAGGTAAAAAAAAAACTTAAAAAATATAGCAAATCCCAACTTACATCAAACGGCTGACACTGTGAATACCCATTAGTAGAAGGAAAGCTCTGTAGATGTTTACCGCCATTCAATGTTGTTAATGTTGAATTGGTAGTATAAGGTGAAAATGTTGTTGATGAGAAGTGACTTGTTAACAATGTTACTGGTTTGGCTGAGCCTGTTGTTGCCTCGGATGTTGGTGTTGATAGTAGAGGCGGCAGTGGTGGTGGTGGTGATGGTGGAAGTGGGAAATCCTCTGAAGCAAATGCATCAGGTGGAGGCAATGGAAATGAAGGTTCTGTGGAACAAATGAGAGAGATGATCTAAGTTTTTAGAAAGAAATGATTGTAAACCATGAAGCACAGAGAGAAATAGATATAGATAGATTTATGTGGCGATAATAACAGATGAAAACATTTAGCAACAACAATCTTTGACTTTAAAAATGTAAAACAATAAATATCGGTCTTGCATCCAATAGCTGAAAAACGAAGATTTATGGAAAGCATCAGATGAAAATAGAGTTCGTATTTGCACCTATCTATGTAAAAAGTACCTAGAATTTCGGCGATAAATCATACTGCTTCGGAGATTCAACAATAACATGAATAAATGCATAAACACATAAAACTATCAGTCAGAGGACGAAGTTTGCACGAAATCATCGACGGTAGATTGTGACTTTGAAACTTATTTTAGACATCTTAATTAGAACATAACTCTTTTTACGATTATTAAGGTCTTTTGTTGACTTCAATCCTCAACATATACACAAATCATGAACCAATATAGCTATTAGATTTTGTTAATCAGTTATCTAGTTATCAACGTAGAGTCTGGTACGATTCAACTAGTCACATTCTCATATCAGCACAACAACAAGAAATCAAAAAGATATAAAGTGTATGGTGAGAAACACTGTGAAAACCGGTTAAAATCTAAACTTCAAAAAGAGTAGATGAGATTGAGGAGTAAAGAGTTAGGAATCATACTTTAAGATAATCATAGTATTTTTAAACACGAAGTCTGTATCTTGCAAAATGACTAAGACCAGACCATTCTCACATTAGGAGTGTTGTTTAAGAAATCGACAACAAGAAAAGCGAATATCTATCTCCCTAACCGAGTTGGTGGATACAGAGGATTCACCTAGGAGAGTTGGAGAACCCTGATTCCAAACTAATGGTATACATGTGCTACAGGATTCTGAGGAAACAAATAACGTATCAACCTATTGTTGGTCACCAGCTACCATGGGATTACATCTTCTAACGTTGTTCTATCGCATTGTGGATTAGACCTGTAGGTTAAAGTCTCCGGTTGTGGCCTCCTAAGAAAACCATTTGCTTCGGTTTGGGCGTCCGGGCAGTATTCCAGCCCTCACACAAATCGGATGACGAAGTGGCTCATATATATTTGGTGATTAGACACATCAAATGAATGTTCCAACACCATAAACAGTATTTATTTATCAACAAACACTTGAATCTAGCAATTATTATCTAAAATTCTAAATTTTTGTGTACTAGGCTAACAAGTCATAATACAGTTAGAGATTCCAAGTTGGCTCTTTCTCTGTTATCTTTTTTTACTCCATATCTTACTTGCAGTGTTTAATTGACCTCATTATTGTTTGACAAGTCTACCAACAATTATGGTTAAAGGCAATGGAATGTTAATTACATACCTTGTATAATGAAAAATCAGTCTAGACTTGTTTATTTTTCATTATGTATAATTAATATGCACCCTATTAACATCAAACAATAATAGTGTACCGTAAGTAATGAGTAGAAACACAAAATGAAATCTAGGAATCATGAGTCAATTGAAACCTGAGAGCACTGGACGGCCGTTTCATCCTACTGTGGGACCCCTCAGCAGTGCACATCTTCGATCCCGCCTCGCGAGATTCAAACCCAGGACCTATTAGTCTCGCGCGCAAGCGCTTAACCACTAGACCACTGAGCCGATTTAACTGTTGATTTAAGGTTAGAGATTAGATTTAAGGGAGTTTTGATCACAGCTTTATCATTAAAACAAAACAAAGAAATGATTTAAATAGTAAATGTCGATAAAAGATGAAAGACAAAAGAAATCCGTATCTATTCCCTTATTCTTTCCTTCAATATTGAATAAGATAACCTTAAATTCAAAACTGTCAATAGTTTAATCTGTATATGCTTAACTGTTAGATTTCATTGTTAAAGACATTTAACCAAGTTATAAAAAACTATATAATTATTATTCTACAAAGTATGCTATAATTACTACTAGACTTATCATAATCTAAATTAATCAATCAGTGAAGATCAACTGCGTGTTCATGATGAATTAGTTATAAGCAACATGAAACTTGGAATATCAATTCAACTTATCTACTCAATATGTCCCCAGATGCCCTGATATGGCTAAGGGTGTGGAGAGTTCACTCTCCCTCTCCAAATTCTTTCACATGGCCACATATATACAGCTAGTACCATGGAAGTGCTACTCATTGCCTTCTCGCGGCAATACTGTTATTTACGAAATTGAGAGGACAAAAAGTGAATGCCCGACGCTTTAACCGGGTTGGTAGACACAAAGAGTCCATCTTGAGGAGTTGGAAAACCCTGATTCCAAACCAGTGGTACACATGGGCCCTAGTATCCTGAAGGAGCAAATGGAGTATGATTCAATTGTTGGTCACCGTCTACCATAGGACTGTATCTCCTGACGTTGCTGCACCTCCTTGTGGATCAGGCCTTTAAGTCGAAGGCTCCGAGTATGGCTCCCTAAGAAAACCATATGCTTCCATCTGAGCACCTGTTCAGTATCCCAGCCCTCACACAAATCGAATGATTTATGTGGCCTATATCTATTTGGTGCCTCCTCGTACCAATGTTTATATGTTTAAATAAATAAATAAATCATATTGTCAATAGTTAATATTTTCTACTACTTCCTATACTGTTACTATTTCTACTCTGGGATTTCCGTAGATCATTTATTCTCGCTATGCTGATATGGAGTGGATTTTATTTATTTATAATTATTTGTACATATAAATATTGTTACAAATGGGAATCGAATAGATATGCGCCACATAAATCATTCGATTTGTGTGAGGGCTGGGATATTGTTCGGGTGCCCAAACCGAAGCAGTTGTTTTTCTTAGGACGTCACACACGCACCCTCCGACTTAAAGATTTAACGAACAAGGCAGTGAAGCAACGTTAGGAGATACAGTCCTGTGGTAGACGGTGAATAACACTAGGTTCGTATGCCTTTTGCTCCCTCAGGATCCTACAGCCCATGTGTACCACTGGTTTGGAATCAGGGTTTTCCTACTCCTCTAGATGGACTCTCCGTGTCTACCAACCCGGTTAAAGCGTCTAACATTCGCTTCTCGTCCTCTCAATTTCGTAAACAACAGTATCGCTGCGAGAAGGACTTCCGTGGCACTGGCTGTATATATGTAGCCATATCAGATGATTTGGATGTATTTATCTCTCGTCTTATCAAAGTATAAATACAGAGGAAAATATACCAATAACTGTAATGTTTCTCTATGCAAAGATGAATAATGTCTAGTAGTGGAATCCAGTTTGACACGCGTTTCATCCTATTTGGGACTCGTCAGTTGGATGTACTTGCATCTCAGACTTGTTGATGTTCACTTCAAGACTCGAACTCAGTATCATTCACTTCAAACACCATTGCGTTATTCACTTAGCTACCTGAGTCCTGATAGTCACTTACTTGTGCAATGGGTTCAAGTTGAAATTCATTTGATATTGTTTGTTCAAATCTTCTGTTTGAGTTTTTTTTTTCAGTGTTTATCATTGTAATAATGCTCAATGTTTTGTGAACTATTCGTTAAATATGGTAGTAATTCGATCATATTAACATACTTTAATGGTTAAGTAACTATTTTGTTTTAATTCATTGAATAATCTCTAATTCAATGGTGTACCTTAATCATTCATATTAAATTTCTAGACATTTAAACTATGTAATTCACCATAACTAAAGAAAAAAAAACTATGAAGAAAGTTCTTGTGAAAATAAATGACCAGAGTTATTTTATGAAGTGATAGATAATTTCTCTTTAGTAGAAATCTACAGTTTATTATCTGAATTCCTAAATATTATAGATAACATATACAACTAACCCAATTAATCAGTTATAAGGTAAGACCAGACACATATATGCATCAGTCCAAGTTGCCATACTTCATTAGCACAACAAAATAAACACCAAATTCATAGAAGTAGTCACTTCAATGGCGGTAATATATAAAGGAAAGATTGCATGTAAGGATATAGTACAGGAAGAGAGAATTAGAAAAATATAAAGTAATTTTAATCTCATAGTTTAAAGGAAGACAAAGAGTGTATACACCTACGCCATTCTAATCGATTCTGAGCTATGTCACATACAATCTCCAACTACTGGTTACTATAGTCACGCGGATCCAACCAAGTAATCTGGATCTACCAACATGGATCAGACTAGAAGTTAGTGACTTTATAGACTGATGCCACGTTTTGGTTTGGCTGACTTTAACTTTCTTTCAATGATCCTCAACACTAGTCAGCATTGCGCGTCGTGATAATCGGTGTTCAAACATACGTAACACGTGGCCTAACCATCTCAATTGATGAAGATTTACAACCTCATTAACTGATTTACCATCATCATTCCCTAATACTGTGAGTCTAACCTCACTATTACTTACCAGATGATCCTAGCAGATGCGAGCTATATTTCTAAGACATCTAACCCATTGCAAAAGAAGCAATATTTTCCAACAATTTTTTTTCTAAGAACAAAAACGAATGTGTCTATATCTGACAAAAATTGACTATTAAAACTCAGTCAGTTAGTCAGTCAACAACAACGTAGAACTTCGTACGTACGTATATCAGTTCAAGTTACCATACTACATTAGCACAAGGTTGCAGTTGTCGATTCAAATCGCGTATTGGTAGAGGTAGTAAAAATATAAGCAGTAATCAGAAAGATTACGATTTGAAGATGTTAGTCAAGGAGTATAATCCAGTGAAATAAATTTGAAGAGAGAAAAAACAAGGGACATGAAGAATTCAGATTAGAATTTGGAAGAACACAAAGAGTGGATGCACCTGTGCCATTGCAAACGATTTTGAGCCATATCATTCAACGTTTCTAACCATCGGTTTCTATCATCTCGCGTATCCCAACCAGATAGTCTACACCTTCCAACATGGCTCAGTCCATTTGTCAGTGACTTCATGGGATTGTGCCATGTTTTTGGTCTAGTCACCCCTAGCTTTCTTCCAACCTATTCCTGCACTATAAAATATCGCATGTCAGCGCAGTCAATGGTTGGGTACACATAACACATGTCCCAACCATCTCAACTGATAAAGTTTCACTAACTGAATATTGTTCAGTAGCTTAATAAGTACGATGTCTTTAATAACCCATAACAATACATTAAAATTATGAAATATCACATAAATTAACATTTAGTATATACAATCCATTGTATCCATATCCAACAATAACTTACCGATTTGATTACAATAATTTGTAAAAGTATATGACGATGATGATGTTGTTGTTGTTGGATACAAAGAAGAGTTGACATCTAATTGATCATATTGATTATTTATTTGTATTTGATCTCCATAATAATATTTTCTTATTTCATTTATATCATGAATATTATGATGATGATAATCATTGATATTACTATTATGTGTAATAGATGTTACATAATTCATATTTGTTATTGTTGTTCTACTTAATGAAGATAATTGATTTGATAATGATGGAGAATTTGTAAACGTTGAATAATTGAAATAATCTACTGAAGTATTAATAGAAGGAATATTAGTTAATGAAGAAGAAGTTAATAATTGTTGTTTCTTAGATTCAATATCATTATCATCATTATTATTAACATCATACGTAGCAATGACAGCATCTAATTCATCTATTGAACAACGAATTTCACTTCTATTTAACAAGGAAAATACAAATACAATATGAAAAGTAACATATATAAAAGTTTATTAAGTGTTGTTTTAATTTGAAGAGATTAACATAAAACAAGCCCCCCAAATGCCTTGGTACGGCCGAGAGTGTGGAGAGTTCGCTCTCTTTCTCGAAATGCTCTCTCATGGCCACGCGTATATAGCCTCTGGCAGGGAAGTCTTAGTCATTGCTTCCTCTCAGTCGGGGTGTTGTTTACGAAATTGCGAGGACGAAAAGTGAATTTCCGACGTTTTACCCGGGTTAGTGGACATGGAGAGTTCACGTGTAGGGATCGGAAGACCCTCATTCCAAACCAATGGTGCACATGGGCTCCAGTATCCTGAAGGGGCAAATGGCATATGAACCAATTATTGGTCACCGGCTATCATGGGACTGCATCGCCTTACGATGCTACACTGCCTTGTGGATCAGACCTTCAGGTCGAAGGCTCGAGGTGTGGCCCCATAAGAAAACCACCTGCTTCGGTCTGGGCACCCGAGCAGTACCACAGCCCTCACACACATCAAATGAGATCTGTGTGGCGCATATGTTTTTGGTGCTTCCTTGTACCAATATCTATGTGTTAAAATAAATAAATAAATAATAACATAAAACATAATGATAAGTGAAATTTCTCTATAGAAAGTCCTTGCTTTGAATAAACATTCTTCATGGTAAAATAAGATTTACTACTATTTCTATACAACTTCGCCTACAGTAACTCTTAGGCTACTACTACAGGTCTCAAGCTTGGATAAACGAGGAACGTTGGGCATGAGATTAGTGACTCTATCCCGTAGAAAATTAACTCACTAAAAAAACGCTAACCAGAAAAAAAATAATTTAAACCATTTAATGAATTGGTGATGAACAAAATCTTGGAGTGAAGATAAAAAATCCGTTATGATTTTGCTATTTATCATCATCTATAGTGAGGAGGAAATGTTTGGATGACTAATAAACAACTGCATTTTTCAAAACTTAACAATGACAACTCTATACGCAACCAACTAGTTATCACTGTAGATAATAAGACAGAGTACAAGTAGGAAATCACCTGATGAAATTGTGAATCTGCATAGACTAAGACAGCCAAGACATGTTTTATAAATCAGCACTTACTAACTACACTGAAGCTTAATGGTAACTAGAGTGAGAGTGGGTAACCGTGCAAAAACTCTTTATTACACATCGATCACTATACTATGCAACACTTTGTTTCCTTTCAACATTTTCTCCCATATTAGTTGCTCAACTCAACTTTGTATCACAACAGTTTACAACAGTAAGAATGTATGGATCATAGTCAGTTACCCAATATCATGCATGTTAACTAAGTCCCCAAATACCCTAGTATGGCTGAGAGTGAGCAGAGTCAGCTTTCTTTCTCCAAAACCTCTCACATGACTGCGTGTATACAGAAACTGTCACGAAAGTCCTACTAACTCCATTCTCATATTGGGAGTGTTGTCTAAGAAATCGATCTGTCTAACCGGGTCGGTGCATACAGAGGATTCACCTAGGAACCCTCATTTCAAACTAATAGTACACATGTATTACAGGATCCTGAGGAAACAAATGGAGTACCAACCTACTACTGTTCACCGTCTACCATGAAACTGTATCTCCTAACTTCGCTCCACTGCCTTATGGTTTAGACCTCCAGGTTAAAGGCTCGGAGAGTGACCCTCAAAGGAAACCACCTGCTTCAGTTCGGGAGTCCGAGCAATATTCCAGCCCTCACACAAATTGAATGACGAAGTGTGGTGCATATATATTTGGTGCCTCCTTGTATCAATGTTTGTGTTTAAATAAATAAATGTTAAATAAATCTAATTTAAAACATGGATGAGAAACTTGAGCACACTAAACTACAACTTGATGTACGTAGGATTAGTATTAATAGTACTCATGTTCAACAGAATGCTTCATATAAATTCGGTAAAAAGAAATGAACAATTCCGAGTATTAATAATAACAAAAATTTCAATTACACCTCAATAACATTGTACACCATTTGTGCATTGGATGACAAGATACAACGAGAAATTACCAGGATATTTTTATATTAATGATTAAATATGCCTATAACTTTGTTTACAGACGACACCTAAATCTTGGGAAAACCAATGACATTATCCAGCTATTTATATCACGACAAACAGTGGTAGTAGTTTAAACTGTTGCATCATAGTTCAACCATATATTCATAACCATACAAATCCGCCAAAAGATTGCTTAGATAACTCTGGGAAGCATAAACAAGACAATATACTAATGTAAAACATACCGAATTATCATATAATGATTTATAAATGAAACATTTATCGTTTATACAAACCAACTAAAACAAATTGATAATTACTACAGAAAACAATAAAGAGTTCAATAAAACTTTAACCCTTATTCTAAAAATTACATTGGTATTCTCAGTGAAACAACAAATGAAGCACAATCTGACATGGTTAACAACAAGAAACTTAACTCACTTTCAATGTAGATACAAGTACTATTCTTTTTAAAAAAGTATAGATTTCATCATCACTATCATGATTGTCATCACCAATGAATTTATATCTATTACTTATATTTATATACGAAAAATGAAACAAATAAAAAGTGGATAATAGTCTCTAACTGTATTCATGTATGTATATCTGTGTGTGTGTGTGAAAATAACTTCCAAAGTAATCGAATGAGAGAAAAAATGGCAATATTCAAGAGAAACAACACAAGTAGACATAATAACAAATGATTCACAATGGTTTCTGTTATTTAATATTATTTAAACCTGGAATTATTCTGTCTTTATTCTTTTGTGTTATATTGTACACCATCAATTGTTTATTTTTGTAGTTGATTATTATAACACAATGAAACAAATGAATAGATTAACAAAATTAAACAATCATAACTATTCGTTTCCATAAATTAGGACATAACTGTAAATGATTTCACTAAAAGACTATTGTTTGTTTTGTTTTGTTTTGTTGGATGGAAATTAACTTTTTTACTTAAAAAACAATCTAAGATAAGGAAGGATTATCATAATCACTATGAATGTTGATTCACTATAGATAATGGAGTAAAGGAAACAATGAAAAGTTATGAAACAGTAAATATTTAGATGTGTTTGTACTAACTGAATTGAATATATATGACGAGTTGACTTTGTATTTCTAGACAAAAAGATGTATTGTGATATTTATCTGAATTTAAGCTACTTATATATGAATTTGGATATAGATTTTAAGTTAGCTCTTCTGATGAATAAATCTAAATTGGTAATGAAATATAGATGTGTTAGTTTAAACTAGTACCAGGGAAGTCATACTCACTGCCTTCTTGTGGTGGGGGTATTTTCTACAAATTCAGAGAACGAAAAGCCACTGTTGGGCACTTTAACCGGGTTAGTGGATATGAAGAATCCGTTTAGGGGAGTTGGAAAACCCTGATTCCAAACTAATGGTACACATGGACTCCAGGATCCTGAAAGAACAAAGAGAGTATGAACTTAATGTTGGTCACCGACTACCATGGGACTGCATCTAGATTCTTGAACTTATCCAAATCAATTGAAGTTGAAGATGAAACCTAGTATGTAAAGACTGACTAACTCTACTACAAACAATACTCTTGGTGTTTACAGTTTTTTTGGCTTACGACTTTTGAATTATATTTGTTTACTATATATAAATGTTAATTAAAGCGCGCCACTGTAATTCAAATATGAGTGGATGCTGTGTGCCCATTCAGAATAAATTTAACTAAGCGTGAGGCAATACTTAAAATTCCCAATGAACTACTAGACTACTAGTATTCACTGTTGAATGGCTTATTTTAATTGGTTTATGTTAATACAGTCAAATTCTAAGAAGTAAAAATATTCTTGTCAGACGTCATGACAAATTGTACAAATTTATATAAACGCGTTCTCTAGTGATTTTATCCCCAAGTCGGACGACTCATCACTAAATATGAAGCATCATTTAGGTGCACCAACTCACACAATAAGATATGTGTAACACCATGGATCGAGTAGTTAGAATTTAGATTGCTAAAAACTCTGAAAAATATCCAAAGATATGTCTGCAAGGTCTTAAACGATCTTAAATGAGAATCCTTGAATCTTAACATTAGCATTTGAGAACACCCTATATTGGTGAAATTACACACTGCGAACTAGAAACACAAAATAATGGCAATTTTATTTCACTTCGACTGAATATACGGAAGCAGAAACCAAGAAACAATCAATATCGTTTCTATCCCTATCCTAACTACTGACCAGTTAATGGCTTGACAGACGAAAATATTTGAAAATTGAAAGACAATGAAAAAGAAGAAACATGAAAAAAATAGTTTGCCTCACCAAAGGACGAACAAAACTAAGTACTGGTGAAATAACTGTTGAAAACTCAGTAATTTCATACATTTCATATACTAGACCTATACTCGTGAACATGAACAACAATACTTTACAGGTTTGTTCATGAAGGTACTAGATGTTTTCGGTTTGTATCCCAATTTTCATCATTTATAAGTCAACCATAAAAATACTGACAACCAAACAATAACTAGTTGGATAACTCAGTTGCGAAGGTCTGCGGAAGGCTAACGTTGTCTCAGGTTCTATGACTCAGTAAATTGAACATGAATAGGAAGAAATCCATCATTTAAATAAATACACCCTTCAATAATAGTAATGTTGTGATCTACCTCTTTGATACTGTGAATAAATAAAGTATTCCTAATATTCGCTGCAAGGGATAACATGAACCCATTAGTATCTGAAAACGGATTTTTATTTCATATGGATTACGTTAATTGGGGTGAAAAACAAACAATGAAGCACACTTTTAGTGATATTTTAAACCCACAGCGACAAAAAGGGGAAATGTTGATCTATATCTCCACGGCAGGCGTAAAAGGAAACTTCTCGACGCGTTACTCTTTCATGCCCCACGTGTTATCTTAGCGAATGTCCACTTTGATTCCCCTTATTTAGCTTGAGCCACTGTTTTAAAAGAAGCTATAGTTCTTAACAGAGGCAATTTGACAGTATCTCAATATTTTGGTTGATTAATAACTAAGAGCACATATGTTTGCAATACGCTTACAGTAATGTCTGCTGACGGAATTTTACAAGTCTATGATATATGGGATACTCGCCAAGAATTTTGCCAAGATATTGAGCACGAGTGCTCTATTGTCGCGAGAATAGACGATAAGGTCACTGTTAAAAATAGAACATTAGGATTAGGAAAATAATACACCAAAATGTCGTAGGTAATAAAAAACTAGATGTGAAGTTTTAAACCTTACCCAAAAGATTTAAGGGAAGGACGAGGAGAATGATCTTGATGATTTTTACTTAGAGTGGTACTAGGTAGATTAAGCGAGAGTAAACCAAAACCAGATTCCTCTCCAAGAACTAAATGGTTACTGTCGCAGGAAATTTCCGACCGTATCATTCCCTTTTTTAGACCTTGGCGTAGACAACACACTAGCGAAAGTTCATTATCCTTAAGTTTGACCTTCAAATATCAGAGATCGCGCCTGAACAGAACAGTAATTTTCACAATTCAAACGTTTTAACTTTAGATTATCTGATTGTTAGTTCCGTCCAATCTATATACGGAAATCTGGAACGTTTTGAATATTTCTCGAACTGGGTAACAAATTATTCTATACACAAACCTCAAGAGTGAGGAATATTTGTTGGCCGAAGAATGTAAATGGGATGCGACAACTACTGTTGAAAAAGTTAGGTAAAAGTCATTTTTCAACTGCATAATTTTCAACGGAGTATATGGTGAATAGAATATCGCTACTGTTCACCGTTATCATGTAGCATTGAACAGAAATGGATTTCTAATATCCTAGTCAAGTTGTAGTGACCTACTTTATCAAGAGAACGCGAATGGTTTAATGGAAACAATTATTATTATAACCAATTTTACCAGTGGTTGTTTTACTGTACTTGGTTGTTTGACTTTACTAAAGACATTCTCCCTTCCGTTGATTGTGACGTTTGCTCAGTGATTTCTCTTGTACTCTTTGAGCACGATCTTGGTATTCTTTCGATACCACGAGATCGCCAACAAATACATCTCGACCACAGTCATCAACCACCTTCTGATAGTTAGCCTACGAGGGATCTTATCGGTTAACTTGCACGTAGTCATCCTGTAATGGTGATCATAATCAACCGTGACTCAACGCCGCACAACAACAATTGGTGAACGCAAAAAATACGAACACTTTTCAATTGAAGCTAAATCTTTCGAAGAAGCCAAATGCGGTGAGTCTGTTACTTTTTATATTGATATTTTTCAATATATAATATTCTGGAAACAACCTGTGGTGGTGGATAACGATAAGAATAGTAATAATATAATAGACTCCGATGTACGCGTACCAAATCTTAGGCGTCTTTTATTCGCGTGATGATATATTTCAGGCTTTATTCGAGAAATTCCCCAAATTAGCTAAACCACTCGAGGAGATTTCATCGGTGACCAATCACGTGGTACACCACATGGTCACCCGCGGCCCCCCAGTCACGGCAAGACCGCGCCGACTAGTGCTTAGCTTTCGCTAAGCGTGAGTTTGACAATTTAGTAGCTACTGGTAATATTCGTCCTTATCACAGTCCCTGGGCCTCACCTCTTCATATGGTGCGCAAAAAGGATGGGGTTAGCTGGAGACCATGCGGTGACTAACGGGCATTAAACGTAGTTACATGCTTCGATAGCTATCCCATCCCCCACATACACGACATCAGGGCATCGCTCAAGGGCACGACTATCTTTTCTAAGATCGTTCTGGTACGAGCGTATCATCAGATCCCAGTCGCTCTTGAAGATATTGAGAAAATCGCTATCACGACTCTTTTTGTCTATTTGAGTTCCTACAAATGCCATTTGGATTACGGGATGCTGCTCAATATTTCCAAAGGTTTATCAATAGCATAGAACGAGACTTAGATTTTGTTCACTTCTGTACTGATGACCTGCTAATCACATCATCAAACGTAGATGAACATTATCAACACTCTTATTCCAACGCCTTTTGAATAATGGAATAGTAGTCAACCCGGACAAGTGTGAACTTGGCAAATCAGAAATATTGTTCTTAGGTCACATTATAAGGCAAGGGGGTATTTTTACCTTACAAGGACAAAGAACATGCAATAAGTGAGTACAATGTGCCGTCCACACTCGAGGAACTGAAGGCATTTCTCGGTTTGCTTAACTTCTATCAACGTTTCATCCCACACGCGGCAGAGAGGTTACGACCATTAACCGATTTACTTCGCGGTAATCCACGCAAATTAGAATTGAACGATGCTGCACGTACTGCATTATCAGAGATCAAAACGGCTCTGGCTCAAGTCAAGCTTCTCGCTCATCCTTACCCATCAGCCACGCATCGCATAGAGGTTGATGCATTGGATTCCGCTAAAGGAGCCGTTATGCAACAAAACATCTCTGGCAGTTCGCAACCTCTCGAATTTTTCTCACGACGCCCTACTCTCACGGAGACGAGATATAGTGCTTTTGATTGAGGACTGCCAGCAGCTTACTGTGCCATAAAAGATTTCCGACACGCAGTAGAAGGTCGCAATTTTATTTTATTCACCAACCACAAGTTTTTAACGTATGCTGTGCATACCACGTCTGACCGCTACTCAACACGAGAATGTAGATATTTGAACTATATCTCTCAGTCCACGACGGACTTTCGTCACATTAAGGCGAGTCGAAATATGTTGCTGATATTCTGTCACGTATCCAAGTGAATGCAGTTACTTTACCGGTGCTCTATCTTTCTGCTATAGCTGCCGCCCTAGCAAATGATCCCTTTTGTACAGAAGCAACACAATCTACATCCCTTCAGTGCCAGGAAGTACCCCTAGCTACTAGCTCAGGTACAATCCTGTGTGATACTTCGACCGGTCTCCCCCGATCCATCGTACTCTCCGCTTACCGTCGTCTGGTCTTTGATGCCCTGCATGGACTGTCTCATCCATGTGTCTCAGCCACATTACGCCTCATCGCTGCACGATACAGCTGTCCGTCCATGGATAAAGATATTCGTATGTGGGTAATGCAATGCTTACAATGCCAAAGATCAAAAGTGCACGGGTACGTAGATGCCCCCATTGTTACGTTCGCTGCGCCTGATGATCGATTCGATCACGTTCATATAAACATTGTGGGACCATTGCCGCCATCGCACGCGTAAGATCACATACTCACGTGCATCGATCGTTTTACAAGATGGCTCAAAGTTATACCCATCACGTCTATTACGGCGGAGACAGTTGCCAACCGCTTGGTAGAACGATGGATAGCGCTGTACGATTGTCCCTCGACTGTCACGACTGACAGAGGACAACAATTCGAGTCCTCATTATTATCCTCACTGAGCCGGCTGCTTGGTATTAAACGCATGTGCGCTACCGCCATCCGCCCTGCATCAAATGGTTTAGTTGAACGGTTTCACCGCAAACTTAAAGGTGCTCTACGAGCACACGAAAACGACAACTGGTACGAAACTTTACCGTCCGTCCTCTTAGGTATTCGAACGAGCTTGAAAGCAGATATCCAATGTTCCGCCGCTGAACTTGTATACGGCACGACATTGCGTCTGCCTGGGGAATTTTTCACTCCACGGAGCAGTAACGATTTCGGTGAATCAGCCTACTTCCATCGACTGTCTGAATTTATGCGAACACGGCCTTCGGTGTCGACTCAAATACAAAATTGACACGTCATTCTCCCTCCAGAGTTATCTACCTGTTCATTTGTTTTAATACGAGTAGATTCGGCACGCAAACCTCGGTAACAGGCTTACGAAAGAACTTTCCACGTGATTTCTCGTCACGAAAAGACCTTCAAGGCTGATCGACATAGCCGCGTCGAGATCGTTAGCATTAATCGTCTCAAACCAGCACGCGTCGATGACAGTGCCCTACCTGATAAGTTGAGGCTCAATTCTAGACCCGTCAAGCCTACTAGCGGGATCTCTATATCTACCTCGGACTCCACGCTAGATCTATCAGAGACCTCATTCTCACGTCCCCGTGAACGGCGCGTGTCATCTGCACCATCTGCGGACGAGACTTCGGTCTCACGTCCAGTTCAGCAGGCCACGCTTCCCTTGACTTCGGACGAGATTGCGGGCTCACGAGGTACGAACAGACTACCGTCTCACGTTCTGGTCGTGACTAACCGCTCAATCAACGACAAATACGGTATAAGAATCTACCCTTATACCACATGCATGCTATATCTTTTCTCTTTTTCTCTGGCTTTTTTATCTTGAGCCCACGCCTATGACCATCCCCTGTTTGGTAGCGTCGAATTCAGCTAACCTTGGTGAAAGCTGGCCTGATCACCACGCTCTTGTCAACGCACTCAGTCAATATTCTGGCTTCGAATCTGTCTGACATATGTTCGGTCTCGCGCTTGGTTGTCATGGTCGCTTCTGGTTACTTGGCCCAACGTGGCTCCGTCCTACGTCTGCAGCGCTTTCTGGTCCAGACCCCTACAAAGTCAATCCTCAGATTCTGGATAAAAGCCACTCTGGTGTGGTACGCTAACTCGAGCAACCAATACAACATGTTTCTCGTGATATCATTCTACGTAAAGGAACTTCGGTGGCAACTCGAGGATCAATGATCGTTTCCTGCTCTGCCAACCCTCTTGTCCTACAATCGTACGTTTGCCGATCAGTCCCACGAATTAAACCGCTACCTATCGAAAGTGCAAACCCTTTCTAGCAGGGTGTTCTTATAGGGGCCTACTTTTATCAAGAGAACGCGAATGGTTTAATGGGAACAATTATTATTATAACCAATTGTACCAGTAGTTGTTGTACTGTACTTGGTTGTTTGACTGTACTAAAGACATTCTCCTTTCTGTTGATTGTGACCTTGCACGTGCTTACGTTTGCTCTTTTGGCACGATCTTGATATTCTTTCGATACCACGTGATCGTCAACAAATATACCTCGCTACAACCTCCAATCGTCTACTATTATCTGGTACCCAACCTTCTTGTTTTGTTGATCATAATCAACCGCAACTCGACGCCACACTACAAAGTATTCTACGTAAGCTTACTTGAAAATACGGTAAATTTTCGGGCTTTTATAGTTCTTCTTAACTCTGGAATCTACTGTTTACAGCATGTTTTAGGAGTGTTGAACTATTCGTTAGTAAATAATGGGAATAAAAGTGCCCAAGAATGGTGCTTGGTAACATTTGCGGCCTATGAATTCCAGTTATGTTGCGTATGGTGTTTCTTTGTAGACTGTATGTCCAACTCTGACAATATTTCGAGATCACTTTCATTATTTCACAGTTTGTGTTAGCTGACCAGATATTAAGCTAGTATTCATAAACCCAGGATAAGTTACGGTTGTGCAAATGTTTTGTTTAAAAACACGTAATTTGTTTATTTACCTATTTCACATTTTCGTCTAAAGTCATTACTATTTTTTCATTTAGAATACAATAGGAGTGAGCATTCACAGATATTACAAACTGTTTCGTCGTTAGAATTATGACTCA